GACTTGGACAAGTCTTTTTTTCTTTTTTTTTAATCCTGCTTGAGTAGTCCTGCTTAAGACCTGCTTTATTCGTGCTCTAGTCCCGCTCTAGTCCCTCTCCAGCCCCGCTCTAGCCCCGCTCTAGCCCCGCTCTAGTCCCTCTCCAGCCCGCTCTAGCCCCGCTCTAGCCCCGCTCTAGCCCCGCTCTAGCCCTAGCCCCTCTCTAGCCCCTCTCCAATCCCGCTCTAGTCCCGCTCTAGTCCCGCTCTAGTCCCGCTCTAGTCCCGCTCTAGCCCCACTTTAGACCCGCTTTATTCGTGCTCTAGTCCCACTCTAGTCCCGCTCTAGTCCCGCTCTGGTCCCGCTCTGGTCCCGCTCTGGTCCCGCTCTGGTCCCGCTCTGGTCCCGCTCTAGTCCCGCTCTAGACCGAAGCTGAACACACTTGTGGTTTTTGTTTCAGCACTGGCTCGACGTCACCAAAAGTATAAAGAAACAGGTGAAAAGTGAGTATTATTCATATTCTTCTGATTGAGTCTGAAAATAACAGATAATGAAATAATGAAATCTAATTTATAAAATGTATTTCTCTTCAGTTGGTCCTCCGTACTGTCTCCACATGAGAGTCAAATTCTACTCATCTGAACCCAACAACCTGCATGAGGAGCTCACCAGGTAAATCTTCTCACCTGTGCCTGTGTCTCCATGGTAACACACAGGGGAGGGCATCTGATACACTGGTGCAGTTGTAAAAGTGGAAAAGCTGAAGTGGTTAATTTCAAACTGCAGTGGTCCAAAGTTATTCTTCACTTACCTTATGCATTCTGAGCAAACTAATTATTCACCACGAAGAGTTTATGAGCACTTTTCACAACTCTGAGACCAGAGTGGAGTTTTCCTTTAATAAAAACTAGCATGCTAACAGTGTGTGCTTGTAATCACTATATGGAGCTGCTTTTATAATACATCTGTACTTGGGCTAGACTAATTTGACTTTGTTTCATAAAGTAAATATATACAGCCCGTTTAATCACAAAATCGATATAGTTGGTTGGACGGGAAAGAAGAAGGATTAAATATTACTCTTACAGAGTTAAAGGGTTGTTCCCAATTTCCCCATGTATTTGAGCAAAACACGTCTTGCCCCTATACAGATAAGTCCACTGTTTAGTTTCTTCATCTAATCATAAAGCGTTTTATTTTCTGATAGTTAGGAAGTGCACGTTGACAGGTGAGTTGATGCCAGCTAAATCTCTGAAAGTTGTGAAAAGTGCTTAAAAACTCATCGAGGTGAACAGTTAAGATGCTCAGAATGCACAAGGTTAGAGAGAAATAACTCTGGACAACTGCAAAATGTTTCAAATGAACTACTTTTATTTTTCACTTTTTTTCACAAGACATAAAAAATTTGGTACAGAGATTAGTCCTGTGAATGTACTCACTGATGTGTCCTCGCAGGTATCTGTTTGTGCTGCAGCTGAAGCAGGACATCCTCTCTGGAAAGTACGTCAGATTTTACTCTCACATGTGTCCAAATGCATTTTATTTTAAACCAACTTAACATGTTTTTCAAAGTGTTTTTTTTTTTTTGAAGTTTGCTCTCTATCATTTCAGACTGGAGTGTCCTTTTGAAACAGCTGTGGAGTTGGCAGCCTTTTCTCTACAGGGTAAGACCAGGGGATGATTATCTTTGTTTGCGATTATCACGATTATATAAAATTTCCCACCAATGGTTATTGTATACCCTTTCTATCACAATAAACATTATTATTGTTTATTGTCTTTTCCCTGTTCCAAACAGGAAGTGAGCATGGTCGTGCTTCCAGCACCTTTGACTCTGACTCCAACTCACCTTCTCTTGATAAACTGTCGCACCTCTTTGTAACTGCTGCTGTCATGCTTGTCATTCACGTTACATCCAGTGCGGATGTACGGTCCTAGGGTTTTTATTTTGCTATTTTCCCATGAAATCAAGGTGTCTTCTTTCTTCTTTTGATTGGCACTTTGGTTGCTATGATACTTGTGGTCAGAATTCCAGATATGAAACTCTGCTCCAACTTTACCTCTATAACTGCCAGCCTCTGTGAGCTTCATTTGACTGGAGCTGAACGCTGTGGGTGAAGTCACAGTCCCTTAGTCCACTTCTTTATACAGACACAGTCAAACCAAAGCCAAACTGTAACTTCAGTGTTTTCATGGACTGTTTAATATTTTATTTTATTTTACTTATTAATGTCCTTTTCCATGTCCTTCAGCCGAGTTGGGCGACTGCGACCCCCTGGAGCACCCTCTGGACCTGGTGTCAGAGTTCAGGTTCACCCCAGACCAGACTGAAGATCTGGAGCAGGCCATCTACAACGCCTGGAAGAACTGCAGGTAAAACAACCATACAGGTGCACAGGGGAGGAGCACGCGGGTGCACAGGGGAGGAGCACGCGGGTGCACAGGGGAGGAGCACCACAGGGAGGACACGCGGGTGCACAGGGGAGGAGCACGCGGGTGCACAGCGGATAGACCATAATCCTTTTCTTCATTTAAGTGCCATTAGTGTCTCCTTCTAATTGAGTATCTGTGAAGTCATAGCAGCACTTACAGTTTGGCACATGTATTGCAGCGATTAGGAATTGATTCAGTTGTTTGTTGTTGTTGCAGAGGTCAGACTCCCGCTCAGGCTGAGATAAACTACCTGAATAAGGCCAAGTGGCTGGAGATGTACGGCGTGGACATGCACATGGTCAAGGTGAGACGCAGTTTAGACCCAAGTGCCGCAGGTTCTGTTGATACATCACTGCGACATCACATGGAGGATCTTCTACTTGTATGTCTACAGCAAAACGTTCAGCAGTTACCATGGTGACGCAATGCACACATTAGCAAATATAGATGAAAAAGTTATAAGATAGTCTGAAAATTAAGGAAAAAATACAACATAGATTTAAACAACATATTTTCAGGAGCCTGTGATGACCGTTCATCGATGACCGTTCATGGTCCTGTTTAGGAGTTTGATTTTACAACTGCAGAGGGTCAGTGAGAAGGAAACAACTATTTCATGGTTAAAAGCTTAAAAATGTTGGCCCTTGTTTACATTATGTTTGCTTATGGTTATGGAATTACCTCTATGTCACATTGATAACAAATAACACATTTTGAAGCATGATGTATTGCTACAGAGAAATATTGTGTTAAATGATTACTGATTCCCATTATGAAAACCATTACAAATACTGAAGCTACTGTATGTCACTGACACAATAACAATAAAGCAGGAGAATCCCAGTAAAACATTTTAAATAGACACACTCATTAAGAGGGATGAGCAGCAATAAAGAAATCAACCAATAATTCGCCATAGAAGTAATTTTTTATTTTATTTTTATTTTTTCAGCCTTCTGCAGCTCAAATCTTTTTGTATTACAACACAAATCTCCGAATTATTGCAAAGAAACTAAACACACGATAAATATTGGGCCCCAAAATCTGTTGTTTCATCTTTCATATACTGAATGATAAGTTGGTATAGTGATTATTGTGACGGGCCTAGAAAAGCCTTATATAAAATAATTATTATATTCTTAAACCTCCTGACGTTTCATTTCAGGCTCGAGACGGTAACGAGTACAGCCTGGGCCTCACTCCGACCGGAGTCCTGGTGTTTGAGGGACAGACCAAGATCGGACTGTTCTTCTGGTAAACATCTCCAGAGCTGCAACAATTCACACACCTAATCAGAGACACTGACTATTAAAATATGTCAGTGCATGTAGAACACGTGCATGTGTGGTCTTTAGAGCATACAGGACACAAGTGCACTCTGAACTTCTGTGCTGTATTTCCACACAAAGCTCAGCAGAGCAAATGCACCACACACAACAGACCATAGACAGAGTTTTCAGCTCAAGACCAGGACTTGATGGAAAGTGAAACAAGAGGCTCCTGATGAGGTAAAGGTGAGGCAGCCACAGGCTGTTCAGTTTGCTCTGTCCAGAAGTGTCCAAACAACAGTTTCATGGAGACTCCATCATCCATCTCAGAGGAGCTACACATGGCGACACCACAGACAGAGAGCATCACTCAAATAAAACCCCTCACCCAAATACAACTAACTATATATAAGTTTTGTGCTTTAAGTTATACCAGTCACAGTTGGCATTCTACAGCCTGCTGCTTCTCCAGCTAGTGCCAAAAGGACTAAACCAAGACTAAAACAGGTCCAAGACTAAACTAAACTACACTACGTTCATTGTGATATTTCTTTTCTTTTGATGCATTTATATTGTACATTAGCTGTCCCATAAATCCACTACTATAGCAGAGAATAGCCTTGGTTCACTTTGTACCAGGATCTGGTCATCAGTCTGAAGCTTATGTCTCTGTTTCAGGCCAAAGATCACACGTCTGGATTTTAAGAAGAGCAAACTCACTCTGGTGGTGGTGGAGGACGATGACCAGGTGAGGGCTAGGGCTGGGGGCTAGGCCGGGCTGCTGTTGCTGGGTTTGGGGTGGGTAACTAGTTTCTGTGTTTGAGGTATTTCAGAAATGTGCGCTCATTCTAAACTGTCTGATTATGTAAGACTGCACACTTCAGTGACCTCCATGCACCAAAAAGAATTCATTATTTTAATTCAGTCATATTTAGTTAATTGTTGTAATTTGTTTAAATGGTATTTAGAAATTCCTCTGCCACTCTGTTACTTGTATGATATTACTGATACATGTTTTGGTATGTTTTTACACTCCAGACAACCTGAAAACCAGTACCAGACTTTATTCTTGTAATTAATCCCTCCTGTCTCCCTTCTCTCTCCTTACTCTTTATCCTTCCTCTCTCTCTCCCTCCTCACTCTCTACTCCCCTAAGGGTAAGGAGCAGGAGCACACGTTTGTCTTTCGCATGGACCACCCTAAGGCCTGTAAGCACCTGTGGAAATGTGCTGTTGAACATCATGCCTTCTTCAGACTCAGAGGGCCAGTCCAGAAGAACGCCGCACACTCTGGGTTCATCCGGATGGGATCACGGTTTAGATACAGGTACATACAGTGGGGGGCGGGGGGACCGGGGCGGGGGACTAGACTAACTTGTCACACCACAAGTAGAACCAGTGCACACTTGACATCTAAGAGACTGAAATCTGAACTAAATCAAGAATTTCATGCATTTCAGAACATTTGTAGAGGTCTAAACTACAAGGTAACCCCATGAAGCACTGGGAGGGCATCTTGACACACATTGGGGAGGGCATCTGACACACACGTTCTTTGGTTTTATCTGTGTATTTCTCCTGTCAGTGGTAAAACAGAGTATCAGACGACGAAGGCGAACAAAGCCCGAAGATCAGCTTCATTCGAGAGACGCCCGAGTCGCCGCTACTCCAGAAGGACCATGCACAACAGAGGTCAGTGCTGATACTACTAATACAAGTACTAATCCTAATGCTACAACTAATAATAACTAATGCTGCTACTACTACTTCAAATACTGTACTATTCCTGCTGCACACAGAATCATTTTAAAAACTATTACTACTTTTTACCGCTGCAGACGGCAGAACATTGGATTATGCCAGACCAGTATTCTTTCAAGTTGTTGACAAAAAATTTTAAAACTCATGTCGGTAACGGAGGGAATGAAATATGCAGCACTTTTTGGGCAATAAATACAAACAGCGCTTCTCACTTACATATCCTTAACAAACTGTGAATATTTGCTTCATATAGTTTTCTACCATATGGTACAAGATTAGCTTGAAAAACCTCTTACTTTTTGAGCAATGGGATATTTTATTAAGAAAGGTCATGGTAACGGAGGGAAAATTGTTCAAGCAAGTAGAAGGTGCATGATTTTACATCATTTGTCAACTTTTTTCTTCCGAATACTTTCATATTACTTCAAAATGAAAGGAAACTATTTCCAAGCAAAATTTTTATCATTTTAAATAATTTTTTTTTGAAAAATCATGTACCTTCATCAGCAGTTCAAAGATGGAACAAGATATGATGAAATACATCCATTTATTGACATGATTTGCAGGTCTTTGAAATTTGGGAAATAATTTTTGTTCCATGTTTCATACATGGTCTGTTTAAAACATATGGAACTTTAGAATCAAAAATAGTACAGAAAAAAGGTCAACAGTTTCATAAACTAGAGTACATATGCTATGTGTTGAATATAATTTTATATCAGATGCATTAACTTGAATTTTTGGGCTTGCTGTTTACTTCTGCTTGAATGGGCCCAATTGTAAATATGCAGGATTGTTGCCAAAGCTCATTTGTATCCTTACTCCCTGATGGACCAAAGCCACAACACCCGCACTCTTCATAAAACATGACAGTCTAAAATACCCGCTCCCACATGCTTCTCTCACTCATACACTGTAAAACACACTCCGACATTAGGATTAAAATGTAGTACAAGTCAAACATGTACTCTCATTACTTCAGCATGCACAGCATTAATTCTATTTACACATCTATATACAAATATAATTGCAGTTCACGGCTCATGTGCAAAAGGTGCTGTTTAAGTTCAGTTGTGTGTTCAGTCACTGGGACACTGTTCCAGGTTTGAGAGGCGCGGAGAGAGAATACAGCCTGTCCAAAGGCACTTTTACTTGATGGTTTTATACAATCACAATCACCTCTGGAGCTTGCTCTTCTGATCTGTCCTGATTTTTTTTTTTTTTTTTTTCAACAAAATCTTGTAGTGGGACAGGGGCCAGACCATGTAAAATTTTGTACACAAGAATAGTGTTTGCAAATTTGATCATGTTCTCCCAACCTAATATGTTGTGTTTCTTCAAAATAATGCAGTGATGGTGTTTTTTTTCTTTTGTCTAAAGTTTTAAGAGCTTTGTTTATATACCATTTCAGTTGGTTTCAGTGCTCTTGCATGCTGAGGCCCAGTTTGTCATGCAGTATGTCATGTGAGAGACAATCATCACATTGAAATACAGCTTAGCTGCCTCCAATGTGAGGTTGTCTCTTATTTGTTTGAAATTTGACAAGCTGAACTTAATTGTGTTTACTACATTTTTTACTTACTGTTTGAAGTTGAGTTTGGAATCAACCATGACTCCTGGATATTTAAATTCTCTAACTGTCTTGATTGGTAGTCCTCTTATCAGTACAGTCATTCTTCTGCACAGTGTTGTGCAAGTTCACACTTTTCATGAACTAGTTCAACCAGGACTGAACCAGGTCTAAACCAGGACTGAACCAGGACTGAACCAGGACTGAACCAGGACTGAACCAGGACTGAACCAGGACTGAACCAGGTCTAAATCAGGACTGAACCAGGACTGAACCAGGAATGAACCAGGACTTAACCAGAATTGAACCAGGTCTAAACCAGAACTGAACCGGGACCAAACCAGGACTAATCCTGGATTAGAATTTGGAATCTAGGACCACCCCTGAGAGAACCCTCAATCGCGATCGGGCGTCAGCTGCGTTTAGCTCTGTGGAGCGCGGATTTCTGCGTCGATCCTTTCGCTCACACTCACGGTCTACGCAGGCGCACTTCTGGCGTTTCACCGCTGCTGATATCGCGGTGATTTTAGCAAATTTGTATGAAGAAAAACAAAAAACCCACCACTTCAATCCAGGTTAAAAAAGCATTGTGACGCGCGTTACTGACATTTGTACCGAGTAAAATATTACCACTTTTTTCCCTGTAATGCCGAACATTACTGTGTTACAGCAAAAAGCAACGCATTACAGTAATTCATTACTTTTTTTACGCGTTACTCCCAACACTGACAAGATATTAACCATAACCCCTATAGAGCCACGCGCGCGGAGCAGCACGTCCTGTGTGTGTAGATTTCAGAAAATAGGATCCATCCTATTTTTTTGACGCTCTACGCGAGCGTAGGCACGTATCCCCGTCAAAATACACAGAGAGCATGGATCCATTGTTGTATTTGTGCATTTACCATCAGCACATCGTGCTCCTTGGGCAGCTGCCGGTGGAGCCGCCTTCGCGTTGACACGCGGCTGTGGTGTCGCGAGGTTAAGTGCGAGCAGATCGTCACTCGTCAGGTGAAAACAAATTCCGACGTTTAACTGAACCCCAACAGTGACGTACGTCGTTCATCACACATAATTTGAACAAATTCACGTTCAAGTTCTTGATTTACAAAAGTGTTGCGTTCAGTTCAAAGTTCACTGAAAAATGAACGTGTACTGCTTTTGCAACAGTTTTTAGAGAAAAACATGGTGACCGTTCTGGATACATTCAGGACGAGCTGGGTTCTCTGCAGCCTCTGAAACTGTTCACTGCTACATCTCTAATAGAAGCTAATCTAAACTTAATCTTTTTGTTTTTGTTCCAGGTCCTTTCACTCCACAAGAGTAAGTACATTTTAATTACTTTTCTTATAAATGTATTGTCTGACTTGGGGCTTTTCTGTAAAGCTGTGAGACAGAGGTGGAGGGTGAGGGGGGTTTGAATGCTTATAGCAGTGTAATTGACAATAGTAGAGTGGTTAGTACTCTTGCATCACAGCGAGAAGCTTCCAAATTTGATTCACAGATCATAGATGGTCCTTCTGTGTAGCGTTTGCATGTTCTCCTTATCTTGTACCTCCTCCCACTAAAACAAGTGAATTATTTTTCAGGGTTATAAGTAAAGCTGCAACAGTTCGTCAGTGGCTGTATAGCGCGCCGATGTGTTGCTTATAGAGCCGAGTCTTTAATTAATGTGTCAGATATAATAGGAACAAGCTCAAGATGAACAACTGTGCTGTATTTCCACACAAAGCAGCAGTTCACGTGCAAGTCACACACAACAGACCTTCCGCGACCTTGGGGGCGTAGCCCTGCGACCTTGGGGGCGTAGCCCCGCGACCTTGGGGCCGTAGCCCCGCGACCCTGGGGCCGTCTCTAAACGGTTACATGAAAATGTCTATGGTTTTTTTCAGAGTGCTGTCGTCAGGGAACGGAGTGAGCTCGAGCAAAGATCGGGTAAGAACAGTGAACATTAACATAATTACATTAATAATAATTATCATATGTTTACCCCGCATCTAACCCTGTGTGTTCACTCTGTGTCCTGCAGGTGTCAGCAATAAGGGGGGCCTGGTCTGCTCCTGTGGTCCCTGTAGCGCCCCCAGGTGGTCCAGTGGAGATCCAGCCTCTACCCCACAGCCCTGGGACAGACAAGAGAGGGTCAGTACAATACTGTTACTATATACACAAGATATAATGCAAGATGGTCACGTTTTATTACATCAAAATTGGGACTAAATCCTAAAATACACTAGAATAGACCAGAACTAAACTAGGACTTAGACCTCAGGCTGACCTACACAGTCCGTGGAGACAGCTGAAGTGTTAGGGTTAGGGAATTGAATAAAAGCATGTGGATCATGTATATTTGTATGAATGGGCGCTGCAGAGCTGCTGTGTGACATGTCTTCTGATAAGGAAATTTGGATGAATTTAATATCAGCGACACATCTCCTTCTGCCTCTGTCAGCACAGGTGACCTTGGGTCTGTCTGTGCAGGTGAGACAGAATGAATGAGCTGTACCCTCAGACTAACCTATAACAGGATTCACTTGCTGTAGCCACGTTAACACACTCTCTGGATGAAGTACCAAGAGCTATGAAACCTCTTTGTTCACACCAGGACTTCATCTTGAATACAGACAAAATGTATTAAAATCAGACTTGACTCCAAACTGTTTCTCAGTACTGAAGTATTGAAATGTGTTTTCCAGTATTGTGATGTATTGATGTCTCCTGCTCTGAGGTAGGTTCATCTTAACAGGCGTTTGCTGTGTCCAATCAGAGCTCTGTGATTCTGCTGGGGGCGGGGTCCAGACTAACAGGTGTCCAATCAGGGCTCTGTGATTCTATGGGGGTCTATGCTGTGCGGTTGAAGAATCTGGGTGCTTGTTGCTGCTTTAATGGTTGATTTAGTGGTTGATTTCAGGGCTTGTGATGCAGACATGTACCCTGATCAAAGGCTCTGCTCTCTGGGTTGATCTGGTCTCGTGCTGTGGGCTTTGGTGGTGGGTTCTAACCATAGACTGTATAAAGAAGTGGACTGAGGGAGTGTGATGTCGCCCATAGCATTTGGTTCCAGCCAAATGAAGCTCATCGATGCTGACGGTTACAGCGGTTAATCTGGACTTCCATATTTGTAAATCTGGGCACAAGTATCATAGCAACTAATGAGCCAGTCAAGAGCGAGGATGTTGAAAGTATCCACCACTTCCATTGACATTACAGTCAGTCAAACCTGTAGCTGACTCAAACAGACGAGACCGTGGGGACTGAAGGTGCTTGATTGGTCTGTTATTAATGTTTTTATCTTGATTCAGGGACAAAATAATACACAAATAAAAACCCAAGGATCAAGTAGAATGAGTTAAAAGCAACGTTTGAAGACCAAAAGCTGTTACAGATAGGAGCGCCTCTAGCAGGTTAGCTTCGTCCACTTACAGTCTATGGTCTGAAGAGGATGTCGCATGCTCCGGCTTATGCATATTTAACATTTCCTTCAATCCGTGCTTTTTATCGTAACATCTGCAGCCTTTTTTGATTTAATCCGATCACATCCATTGATTCGTCTGAAGACCAATTTGTGTAAAACGCGGTGACGTGAGATGTGGCTGTGTCCTGCAGCGCCCCCTCCGGCTCACACTGAGGACTGCGCTGTTGAACTGAGGTGCAGGAGCAACGTTTGTCACATCTGAGGCAGAGCAAGGGATTTAAACATGTGCATTGGTCATAGGTTCAATCCCTGGACCATTTTGGAGTTTTTTATGTGGAGTTTGCATGTTCTCCCTGTGTCTGTCAACCTAAAACATGGAGGTCTGGAGTTATTGAAGGACGGGTCAAATGCAAATAACAATGTGATTTGATTTTGATGTCATATTTATTCTTAGTAATGTAAACACACTTAAACAATCAGAACACGTAACATTTTTTATAATAATTCTATTTCATTTCATGTTCTGTATATTCTTAAAATATTCTGCAAACTGGACTTTTCAGATCTTTTAATCATGTTATTGTAGTTTCTTTTCATTGACCGTCTGAAGTTGGATTTGGAGTGATTCGTGTTTCAAGTTTGAGTCATCTTTATTCTCCTGGATTCAACACCTCATTGCTCCGATGTACACCCGTTTTCAGCTCCACCAGTACACACCCACAGTGACACACACTTCTTTCTCCACTTTTTTTGACACTCAAAGACGCTTCACACAGTTAAACCGACAAAAAAAACACCCCTTCTTTAAAAACCTATTGTGCTTGTGTGATCTCTGTAGTTAAAATCTGACTCCTGTGGATCATTGTTACTACTACATTCTACTATATTGATATTTATCTTAAATGACTTACTAATAAATACTGACACCTTTTGTAAATGTCATCACAACAAAGTGCCGCACGCTGTCGGCTCCTATGGATAGCTGCACATCACACGTTTTACATTTGTACCAAAATAACAACGCAGCGTTGTCGAATCCTACGTGTATCAATGATTTAGAAAATAAAACTGGAAAAGGGAGTGCATATGTCACTGTGGGTGTGTACCTGTGGAGCTGAGAACGGGGGCAGATCAGAACAATGACGTGTTGAATCCAGGAGAATAAAGATGACTCAAACATGCATGAATCACTCCTAATCCAACTTCAGAGGTCAGTGAGAAGGAAACATGGGTAAAAGCTCTGAAAAGTCCAGTCTTGGTGCTGACGATTGCACGAAAACAAACTGAACTCTTAATTACATCAGAATTCCTGTGATTTCTTTTGACATGAGGCTGTTGATTCCTCTGTCCTTTTTATATGTCTCTGTATTTAAGTATTTAAACTAAACATGACTGATATGAAGGTTGAACACGACGTCTGTTTGAAGGAATAATCGTCTCATGTTGAAATAAAGACTGAACCTGCTCCTCACTCTGCACGCTTATGAAAGGTTTTGGTCCTAATGTTTCTCTTATGAATTCCATCTTTGTGCCCCGAAGCAAAGCACCTCTCAGACAGCGCATTGTGCACAGTGTCCCGGACTCTGTGGGGTTATGAAGTTATGAGCAAAAACATGGAGAGGGATTATTCTTTGGGAATGTTACAGAGCAGTTTTATTGTTTTCAACAAGACAGAACCAGGACTGGGGCTGTAATGACACTAACATTTCAAACTCAGTTTCAGTAGTAGGGAATTAACTCGATACTCTGTACGGATTATGATGATTTACAAAAAAATCTCTTTAGACAATAGAATGTGATATTCAAAATTAAATGTTAGTATTTTCAATGGACCTTTTTTTTGTATCGATATCTGCTCAAATGAGTATCTAGACAATTTTTCATGCTGTTGGTGTTGGCTGTGTTTGGGGTTGTTGTTGGTCATTGTAGTTTGTTTGGTCTAAACTGCATGTACTGGTCGAGTGATGTGTTCAGAGTCTAAGGGAAGGCTGAATACTGTAAGTATGTCCTCCGGGTCTGTCTTCGTGTTTTCAAATCTGTTTTTAATATGTTCTCTCTCTCCCCCCCGTCTCTCTCGCCTTTACACCCTCCATCCTCTTTCTCCTCTTTCTCCCCTCCTCCTCGTCATCTCTCCTCCCTCTCTCTCCTCATTCTCTCTCCACAGTTTGCCGGTGGTTCCTGACCTGATGGAGACCTGCATTGACGATGTCCTCCGCGGCCTCCCCTCTCCTCCCGCCTGCGCTCCATCTGCCCCTCCCCTCTCCTCTATAGCCCCTCCTCTCTCCCCCATAGCCCCTCCCTTCTCCCACATAGCCCCTCCCCCAGACCTGGCAGAGGAGGGGGCTGCCGGTGTGTGCGTCGACGATCCCCTCAGTCTGACCGGTGAGAAAACTCCACACTCCACAGACGTATCGCACCACAACATCTGGGAGGGCATCTGGCACACAGGGATACAGGAGGTCGTGAGGGCATCTGGTTTAATTCTCTTGGATTTTCCAGAGGCTGCAGTTCGTCTTAAACAGTTGGAGTTGGAGAGTGTCGCTGTTCCACTGACGCCCAAAAATGTCAACGTGAATGTGGCCATGAACAACCAGGTACCTCCCTGAGAGTGTCCAGTCTGTTCAAAAGTCTTTCCATTTTTCACTTTGATGATTTTATCCAAATCCACTTCATTTACATTTTACTAGTTTTGGTGGCGAACAGTAATATCTCATTTTTGATCATTTTGGCAACCCTACAACAAAGAGTACAAATCCCCAACAATAAAACTAGTCAAATCTAATTCAATTGACCATAATAAAATGGCAGAAGAGTGGCACTACAATTTTGGTTTTTACATTTTCTGAGGCATCCTGACTCGTTTTGTTCTTCCTCAGGAGCTGGTGAAGCTGACGGAGAAGGCGGTCCTCTCCAGCTCTGGCCCCGCCCCTCTCCCCACCCCCCTCAGGACCCCTGACATCCTCAAGAGCAACATCCTGAAAGCTCAGGCTGAAGCTGCAGCCTGCAAGGTACTACTACTGCAACTATCTACTGCTACTACTAATACTACTACTGCAACTATCTACTGCTACTACTAATACTACTACTGCAACTATCTACTGCTACTACTAATACTACTACTGCAACTATACTGCTACTACTAATACTACTACTGCAACTGTCTACTGCTACTACTAATACTACTACTGCAACTATCTACTGCTACTACTAATAACTACTACTGCAACTATCTACTGCTACTACTATACTACTACTGCAACTATCTACTGCTACTACTAATACTACTACTGCAACTATCTACTGCTACTACTAATACTACTACTGCAACTATCTACTGCTACTACTACTAATACTACTACTGCAACTACTACTGCTACTACTACTAATACTACTACTACTGCAACTATCTACTGCTACTACTAATACTACTACTGCAACTATCTACTGCTACTACTAATACTACTACTGCAACTATCTACTGCTACTACTAATACTACTACTGCAACTATCTACTGCTACTACTAATACTACTACTGCAACTATCTACTGCTACTACTACTAACTACTACTACTGCAACTGCTATCTACTGCTACTACTAATACTACTACTGCAACTATCTACTGCTACTACTAATACTACTACTGCAACTATCTACTGCTACTACTAATACTACTACTGCAACTATCTACTGCTACTACTAATACTACTACTGCAACTATCTACTGCTACTACTAATACTACTACTGCAACTATCTACTGCTACTACTAATACTACTACTGCAACTATCTACTGCTACTACTAATACTACTACTGCAACTATCTACTGCTACTACTAATACTACTACTGCAACTATCTACTGCTACTACTAATACTACTACTGCAACTATCTACTGCTACTACTAATACTACTACTGCAACTATCTACTGCTACTACTAATACTACTACTGCAACTGTCTACTGCTACTACTAATACTACTACTGCAACTGTCTACTGCTACTACTAATACTACTACTGCAACTGTCTACTGCTACTACTAATACTACTACTGCAACTATCTACTGCTACTACTAATACTACTACTGCAACTATCTACTGCTGACTACTACTAATACTACTACTACTGCAACTATCTACTGCTACTACTAATACTACTACTGCAACTATCTACTGCTACTACTAATACTACTACTGCAACTATCTACTGCTGCTACTACTAATACTACTACTGCAACTATCTACTGCTACTACTAATACTACTACTGCAACTATCTACTGCTACTACTAAATACTACTACTGCAACTATCTACTGCTACTACTAATACTACTACTGCAACTATCTACTGCTACTACTAATACTACTACTGCAACTATCTACTGCTACTACTAATACTACTACTGCAACTATACTGCTACTACTAATACTACTACTGCAACTATCTACTGCTACTACTAATACTACTACTGCAACTATCTACTGCTACTACTAATACTACTACTGCAACTATCTACTGCTACTACTAATACTACTACTGCAACTATCTACTGCTACTACTAATACTACTACTGCAACTATCTACTGCTACTACTAATACTACTACTGCAACTATCTACTGCTACTACTAATACTACTACTACTGCAACTATACTCTACTGCTACTACTACTAATACTACTACTGCAACTATCTACTGCTACTACTACTAATACTACTACTGCAACTACTACTACTGCTACTACTAACTACTAATACTACTACTGCAACTATCTACTGCTACTACTAATACTACTACTGCAACTGTCTACTGCTACTACTGCAACTACCTACTGCTACTATATACTGCTACTACTAATACTACTACTGCAACTATCTACTGCTACTACTAATACTACTACTGCAACTATCTACTGCTACTACTAATACTACTACTGCAACTATCTACTGCTACTACTAATACTACTACTGCAACTATCTACTGCTACTACTAATACTACTACTGCAACTATCTACTGCTACTACTAATACTACTACTGCAACTATCTACTGCTACTACTAATACTACTACTGCAACTATCTACTGCTACTACTAATACTACTACTGCAACTATCTACTGCTACTACTAATACTACTACTGCAACTATCTACTGCTACTACTAATACTACTACTGCAACTATCTACTGCTACTACTAATACTACTACTGCAACTATCTACTGCTACTACTAATACTACTACTGCAACTATCTACTGCTACTACTAATACTACTACTGCTACTACTAATACTACTACTGCAACTATCTACTGCTACTACTAATACTACTACTGCAACTATCTACTGCTACTACTACTACTACTACTACTACTGCAACTATACTACTGCTACTACTACTACTACTACTACTACTGCAACTATCTACTGCTACTACTAATACTACTACTGCAACTATCTACTGCTACTACTACTAATACTACTACTGCAACTATCTACTGCTACTACTAACTACTACTACTACTGCTACTACTACTACTGCTACTACTAATACTACTACTACTGCAACTATCTACTGCTACTACTAATACTACTACTGCAACTATCTACTGCTACTACTGCAACTATCTACTGCTACTACTAATACTACTACTGCAACTATCTACTGCTACTACTGCAACTATCTACTGCTACTACTAATACTACTACTGCAACTATCTACTGCTACTACTAATACTACTACTGTAACTATCTACTGCTACTACTAATACTACTACTGCAACTATCTACTGCTACTACTAATACTACTACTGCAACTATCTACTGCTACTACTAATACTACTACTGCAACTATCTACTGCTACTACTAATACTACTACTGCTACTACTAATACTACTACTGCAACTATCTACTGCTACTACTAATACTACTACTGCTACTACTAATACTACTACTGCAACTACTAATACTTCTACTGCTACTACTAATACTACTACTGCAACTATCTACTGCTACTACTGCAACTGTCTACTGCTACTACTGCAACTACCTACTGCTACTATATACTGCTACTACTAATACTACTTCTACTGCTACCACCACTACCACCAGTCACTACCACTACTACTACACTTTGTACAGTACTTTGACTTCAGGTCCTTGTGTCTCAGGTCTCTCCAGAGGAGCTCAGTGTGTCAGACAAGAACTGTAACCTGCAGGACCCCACGGCCAGGTACTCACACAGTATACACAAAATCGACACAAATATACATTCATTATACATACAATATATGTGTGCGTGTGTGTGTGTGTGTGATTATCCATGTGTGACACATGCACGTGTGTTTCAGGCTGAAGGTGCAGAGTGGCCGTGTGGGCAGTAACAGCTCTCTGTCTGTGAGAACAGAGCTTCAGGATCTGCTCAAGACTCCCTCTGCAGCCGTCAGGTACTTTTAAATACTACTGCTACTATTACTCCCATTACTATTACTACTATTGAACATGATTTGAACCACTCAGTTTTTTAATGCATGTGGAAACGGCGTTGATCTAAAATCGCACCACTGGTCTCTGCACTTCATCATCCCAACCCATCAGATGATCCATACAACTGCACCTTTAACCGTGTGTTGTTGTTCTGTTGCAGCGTGGAGCGTCTGAGCGAGGACGTCTCCCTCTCCTGTGTAACCCCAGAGCTCCCCACAGAAACACTGCCCCCTCAGGTACAGCCACGTCACTGCAGCGCTCTGTCTGAGGTGTCTCAGCAAACTAAAGTGTTTGTTTACCTAACGTGTCCCCTGTGTGTGCAGGTGTGTCCAGAGGAGGTGGAGCTAAGTGTGAGCGCTCCTCTGTCTGAAAACCTCATTGACTTCAGCGATATCGCTCCAGTGGTGAGGGCTCAACTTTAAAGGAATACAAAAGTCCCATGCGTTTCAGAACATGTTTGTAGAGGTCTAAACTACAGGGTTAGCAACGTTTACATGCAACAAGACCCCATGACACTCAGGAAGGGCATCTGACACTCAGGGGAGGGCATCTGACACACATAACTGTCTGTATTTCCTGTTTCAGCTCCCTCCGGTGCAGCCCAAACCTCCCATCACCCCGAGGTGGATCATCCCCTCCAGCGCAGTACGTCCAGAAGCAGCTAAATGTGTTTGTATATTTGAAAGTGATGCTTTTCATAGCAACCACAGAGCCAATCAGGAGTGTTGAAGGTAGTGCCCTTTCCCACAAGCCTGACAGCAGCAGTCACAGAGAGGGGGCTCACATTTTTCAGTAGAATGTGAATTGGAGCTAGAGTTGATGGAGTTTTGTGCATTTATATAAAGAGTCTATGGTTCAGACTGAGAGCATGAACAGTGTCAGAAGGTTCTATCTGGAGCCTTTGCATTTGAGGACACTGGAAACTTGTTTACGTGATGCTAATTTCGCAAATAGTTGAGCGTTTTCAGTTCTGGAGTTAGATGCCTGTGGTGCTGGGTCAACTGTGCTGAATCTGAGAGGCGTCACTAGAGCTCAGGACACGTGTCTACTTTAAACACATGCCTTTAACAGACATTTAGTCTGAAGGCAGCATAAGAGTAGAAGTCCTACAATCTAATCTGAATGCTCTGAGTTCTGTGGTTTTACTGAACATTTAGTATTTTCAGATTTTTGTAATGCTTTCCCTCTCTCCTCCCTCTATCCCTCCTCAGCCCCCGGGGATCTTCAGTAACGGCGTCCTGGATCCAGAGACTAAGAACTCATCTGTGTGTACAGAAGCAGCGCCCCCTGTCCCTCGCTCTAACAACAACAACAACAGGTGAGCTCACTCTCCCACAGATTTCCACAGCAGTGACACAGTGACACAGTGACACAGTGACGGGTGAGCAGACATCTGCACGTCTTCTCGACTGTTCTTTTTGCTAATTCAACATTTGAAGCACAAGGTTTTTCCAAATGTAAATTATTAATTTATTAATAAAAATCTAGAATGTTTCACAATATGACATTATACTTGTATAACTTGCTTATCTCCATGGAGATGGATGAGTTTAATGCCATCCTGTGGAACATTTTAGAGAAGGTGAGGAGACAATAACCCTATAGCTCCCTTGAAAATGACATCACAACATTCATATATAAAAGCTGAAAGCCGCCACACACGACAGGAGAATTTGCCTGGTTTAGGATGTGATTTGCTTCTCCTCGAGTTCGGGAAGGCGTCACCTGTGTCTTCATGTGCAATTCTGAAGTCGCTGCTCTCTTTGTGGGGTTGTGTGTGTGCGTGTGCGTGTGCGTTTGCAGTGTCAGTGTCAGTGTCAGTGTTAGATCATAACCACCAAACTTCAGCAACACTCCAGCAACAGCTGATAAAACAAAGCATCAGGAGCAGAGGAGTGACGGACACAGAGACACAACATACAGACTCAGGAAATAGCGAAAGTAATAATTGCTCGCCTTTTTTTATAGTTGTAAACTTAAACTGCAGCATCTCATCCACATTATTTATAGAATTTGTCTGCCACAAATAATGACCCCAGTCCACAAAACATTCACTGTTAATCCAGTTTGAAGTGTTCTTTAAAAATAAAAAGGTGAGAGTAGTTCCTCACGTGTGTCTGTTACATCCACACAGCGCACAGGTCGAGGTAAAGCTGCAGCTGTGGACTTTATGACCAACCCTCTGTGCATTAAAAATCCTGTATCTGAAGTATTACACCACATTTCACAAATAATAAAAACACAGTTTTGAAACTAGAAATGCAGAGCTCTGATCTTTTGAACACTTAAGTCTCAAAGTTTACTGTTTCTTTTACTGTAGACAGGAAACAGCTGCAGCAAGGTGCGAGCACAACTTTATATCCTGCACTTGCAGGATATGCACTATAACTTGCATTTGGAGATTTAAAATCACATTCGTTTTTCCTCGTGTCTGTGGTGTGTGCTTTTTGTGGCACATTTAAAAATCGTTTAAGATTGAAATATCCTGTAGTGTGTGGCAGCCTTAACATGAATTTTGTTCGGATGCAGATTTGTGTTGTAATACAGTGAGTTCTTGGATCTGTTCACTAATAGATTTTACCTTTTGGAGATTTCATACAATGAAAGTAGAGCGTAATCTCTAAGGAAAACTGTCTGAGAGTATAACATCATCACATTCTACAATCTGAAACCCACCAGCAGACAAGCGGGTGGTGGAAGGTCACATAGAGCAGCTTTAATATTATGGTTTCTCTCTCTTGTCAGCAGCTCAGTCCAGGCTCCTCCTGCAGAAGATGGCTCCAAATCCAGAGGACTCCTCACCACTGAGCTCTGAACATCACCAACTTGTTACACATCTGCAGACCATATATGGACCAGCACACTCTATCCAGTCTCCTGTAAATCTATGGACCATCTCACTCAAACCACACTCCAGTCTCATCTTACGTCTACAGAGAATCACCAACCTCTAAACATCAGACTTCCAGCATGTTCCACATCTACAGACTGTAACTCCAGTCTAAAGTCCTCTTCACACATGCAGCCTGACCCGGGAATTTACCTGCATTTTGCCAGAACACGGTGTGTGAGAATGAAGCCAGACGTGATTTTCTTGTAGTTTGGATCTGGCTATTTTCCAGCTTAATTACAAGGAATTTGCAGGTCACGGTTGTGTGTGAATACAACCAGAAAATTGTCCACCACTTGGAAAATACCAGTGATGTGAGAGAGCACAGAGAGCCACATGCAAGTCTTCTCTCTGTGTGGGGCTTAAACCTGCTTTTGACCCGGTTGAGACCTGGTTTAGACCTAAATGCCAGGTTAAGTGTGAACTGGGCAGATTCAGGTATATTCTGGAACTTGTGCATGTGTGAATGGGGGGTCACTGCATTTTGTACCCAGCAATTTTCTGAGTTCTATGTGTGAACAGGCTCATGTTCAGTCTGCAGAGCCTGGTCCTAAACACTGTGATAAATCTGGACTAAAATATCTGGACTGGAGCATCTCACCCTCTGCATCTTCACAAACAGAAGCTGGGTTTTAACTTTTGAACACATTTTTGAAGAGAATGAACTAATATTTTGATTCACAAGAAGATTTGAAGAGTCACATTTATATGAAACACTGTTTTATGAAGCACCGAGTTTTAGATTTGTACACTGATGGATTAAAAATGCATAGATGTGATACTCTCTTAAACTGGATCAAAATGGGAGCAAAATTGAGTTTCAGATTACTTTTGAAGTGTTTATTAACCCTTTTTTTTTTTTTTTTTTTTTTTTTTAAATATTTAAGCCTTAAAACATATAACATGATAGAATACACATTTTTGAACCAAATCATGTTTTAATGGCACTGGAAGCATTGGTTTTAGTTGGACACAATATATTTCCATTTGTTTTCATTTTTTTGTTCTATTTTTGATTGTAATAAGAATGGCACCATTTGTTATTTTGCATTCCAGTCGTCCATGCTTCCTTCAGTGGTCTGTGCCACAGCTGCACTGGGGCAAACTCACAAAGAGTGTGGCTGCCGTTCTGCACCATCTGCCCCCTCATAATGCTGGAACATTTGCCTGTTGGACAATGTTTTGAAAGGATACATTTTTGGACATCTGAAGAATCTTTTTTAAGAGCAGACCGAGGTAGAACTGTGAACTTTGACCTGGATTGTGAACAAACTATAGACACTGGACCGGGAATGGACTTGTATTGGTTTGCTGATATATCAGGCCAGTATTTGCTCTTTAGTGTATCAGCTATCGGCCTGAAATCTCCAGCACAAGCCAGTATTTTCTTTTGGATTCTAAACAATTGCTAATGGTGGCTCTCTACTGTGATCTTTAAGACATTTCTTTCACTGGACCTGGACACTGGACTGGACTGTTCATGAATGGGGTTTAAATCTGGTTTAATGGTACTATAGGGGCACATTTTACATGGGAAGAACACACACTTGCTTCTGTTTTCTCCACATTTCTGAATCATATTTGAGCATGTGGTTTGTCACTGTCTGGTCAGGGAGGACACAGGCACTAAACTGGCACTAAACCACAGTGTTAAGTGTTTCTCCATCACTGTTATGTGAAGAGACAGACTATTGGGACATTAAACATTCCAATCGAACAACTTCCAACTCTCTTTAAAGGTTCTGTATTACGTAAAGTTGACTCCTGTGAGCTTTACCTCCTCAAATACAGGCCTGGAGTTGTGTTTCGTTTCATTCACACATGTTTGAGTAACTCTTTATTATTAGTCTGTCTACATCTTCAAAGCTTAAAATGCTGTGTTCCACCTTATGATGTCATGATGTGGTACTTTAAAATTTCTTGTTTGGTAGAAACTGGCAAATACACTGCTGAAATTATCCAAATGATTCTAGTGAAGGTACATGCAAACAACTTGGATGAGGAAGAAAATCATGTAATATGGGCCCTTTTTAAAATTACTTTTGGTACAATTGAATACTTGTATTCTCCACATGCTGCTGCTGTTGAACAAAAAGCTGAGATACACAGGCTGGTATATTGTGTATTACATAGGGTGACCAGATGTCCCTATTTAACCGGGACAGTCCCAGTTTTGAGCCTGTGTCGCCTGTCCCATCAGATTTATCCAAAAACCACTGACTTGTTCCAGTTTTATACAAGAAATGTCCCAGATGTCCCTATTTTTAACCAATCTGATCCCTGTCAACAGTAAAAAGAGGGATAAATTGTCATTTGTTTAGGTAAAATACAGAAAAAAGTGAAACACAAAGAAAATGTGATTATACTGACTGTTAGTCATGAATGGGCCAAGTGCAAAACAGTTGTCCTGAATTACACACTTGTTTCAGTTTTATTATTACCAACCACCACAAACCAGGGGTGTCGCAGTTTTTGATTTTGAAAATCTGGTCACCCTAGTATTATGTATAGTGCTTATGGCTGTGTTTGCTCTTTCTACAGATTTTTCAGCACAGAGGGACTTTTCTTTTAACTGGGTTTAACAAATGTTTGGAGCAATTACACTGTAGTGTGTCTGTATGTTTATCCGTGATACAAGCACATGATTTTATGTCCCAGAAATCCCAATCAGCTTGAAGTATTTGACTTGATGTTTCTCCTTTCAGAGAGACACTGAATCCCACTGTGCGTGTGTGTGTGTGTGTGTAAATGTATTATCACTGGAACAGGTTTGTCTGCGTCAGACCTGAACTCATGTTCACTGTAAACATCTGCTTGTGTCTTAGTCTCATCAGGCTCAGCTATCATCTCGATCGTGTTTATTATATTACCAGTGCTGTAACTTTAACCAAGCTCTTTTATCCACTAAAGGAGAAAGTAGTGATGCAACTGTGACAGACAGGAGTCTAACCCACAACCTCCTGACTGAGAGGAGACAGGATAACCACTCTGCCACTTCACAATTGCGTCCCTTATGTCTCCTTAAATCACATGGTACACTTTTGTTCTCAATGTTTTTTAGCTCGCAAAGTCATTTTATTTTTCATTTGAACACCCAGCCTTTGTAGATATGAAGTATATACTATAAATATATAAATGTAATGATCTTATTCCAAAATGTGATGGTAGTTTTTCACTGTTTAAAATGAAACACTATTTTTGTCCAGCGTCCACAGTAATGGCATTTCAGTCTGTGTTTTTCAAGTAAAAGTCTTGTGCCCTGTTGGTCCATTGCTGGTTTTATTTTGAAATCTCAATACTGTGGATGCAGATTTTGTATTAACTGTAGCGGAACATTCCTCTTTTTTTTACCGTCTTCTGTCATTTTTATTTGTGTTGATTTGAGGAGAATCACATTTTACTGTAGAACTCACAAATATAATGAACAAATGTTTTATAATAAATGCAGTAGATGGATCATAAATGTGCATGTTTTTCTGACTTTTATTTAATTATTTATAATTTATGCTAGAATTTAGAGGGAAAGTATAAATCACATTTATACTTCACATTTTGAAATAATTTTTAATTGCTAGTAGTGTTATTTTAATTTTGTTTACATTTTTGGTTAATTATATTGTTAAGGATAAAATGGAAACAAAAGACAAGACACCAAATGAATATTGTCGCAATACTAAAATTTCAACTCAATTTTTATACTGAGGAATTCACTTGATACTATTTACAGATTCCAAAACTGCAATGATAATAAAATCTCTTTCTTTAGACAGTAGAATATGGTTTTGAGCATTAAATGGTAGTATTTTCTTTTCTGTTCCCATGTGTCTTATATGTGTGTATTCCTCAGTGGTGCAGTAGGTTCATGTTGGTCCATGTGTGTGTACTAGTCTATGTGCTCTTCTACTTGTTTTGATACAGCTCAACATCATTCTAAAGACATTGAGGAAAGCTTCTGCTCTGTCCTCTCAGTGGATCTATACCTGCTCAAATAATTGCTAACTAATTTGTTTCTATTTTGAAAAGAATAGACAGTCTGTTTTTTTTTTTTTTTTTTATATAAAATTTTATATTTGCAAAACAATAAATAAAAATAACTCTTTGTTTACATCTGCGTGCGGAGGTGGGCGTGTCCGCGGTGACGCACGCTGCCGTTGCCGTGGTAACGGCACAACCACAGCTTCAGTCCGCGGCTAACAGAAGCTATCAGAAGCTAACGGGGCAAAAACACATAGAAATACACGCGATCTGCAACGACGATCCCCGGAAAACCAGCGCGTCTCTGCAGGTAAACAGCACCGGGGCCCGTGACTCCTGCGGGATCAAGCTTAAGTTATGTTTTTGAGGCGAAATTCAAGCTTAATGTTGACAGTTGTTCTCAGCGACAGAGCGGATAAAGCCTGTGCTAATCCCGGACAAGCTACTTCCGTTTGACATTCACAATAAAATAGAATAGCAAAAGTGTATGCTTTTTTTTTTTTTTTTTTTGTTCATTTCTGCTCGCATATTTTAACAGTATCTAAAGAGATGTTTAGTTGAACTTTATTTGTGTAACTTTTATACTTTGGGGTAGAAATTTTTATTTAATTCATTGTCGCTTTTATTGTGCTTACAGGATATTGTCGGCTCTACCGCTGTAAGTGGCTCCAGCGCTGCTGTGCCTGTCCCCAGACCTGTACCCCCCGCGTTAGCCCGGTCGTCTGCACTTCTGGACCTTTAGCCCTTTAGTTTCCCTCCAGTTTGGGGGTGTCCCGGCTCGGAGCCATGTCCAGTGACTTGGCCGCGGTGTGGGAGGTGGCTCTCAGCGACAGAGTCCACACCATCGAGTTCGAACATGGCACCACGACCGGGAAACGCGTCATCTACGTGGACGGAAAAGTACGTACATCTTGTGGTTCATCTGTTCATCTCATCCTCTACATCCTCTGACCCTCTCCTCTGCATCCTCTGCCCCTCTGCTCCTCCTCTCTCCACCATCTGCCCTCTCTTCTGCTTCTCTGACCTTCTCTGCTGCTCCTCTGATCCTCTCCTATGATCCTCTCCTCTGGCCTTCTGCTCTCCTCCACCTCTGCTCCACCTCTGCTCCTCCTCTGCTCCACCTCTGCTCCTCCTCTGCTCCTCCTCTGCTCCTCCTCTGCTCCTCCTCTGCTCCACCTCTGCTCCACCTCTGCTCCTCCTCTGCTCTGTGTGGTGGTTGAACATGTTCTTGCTGTTCTGTAGGAGATCTTGCGCAGGGACTGGATGTTCAAACTGGTGGGGAAGGAGACATTCTCAGTGGGTAAAGCAAACACCAAAGCCACGATAAACATCGACGCTGTGAGCGGCTTCGCCTACGAGTACACTCTGGAGATCAACGGCAAGAGCCTCAAGAAGTACATGGAGAACAGGTCCAAGACCACCAGCACCTGGCTGCTCAACCTCGAGGGCACCGACCTCAGGGTGGTGCTGGGTAAGATGCTGCTGCTGCCACCACTACTACTACTACTACTACCACTACTACCCCTACTACCCCTACTACCACTACTACCACTACTACTACTACTACACCTAAAGCTGCACCCACATCAGGGTGGTACTGGGTAAGATACTACTAATACTGTTGTTACTACTACAGTAATAGTACTGCTGCTTCTGGTGCTGCTGAGGCTGTGCTCACACCACTAGGAGGTGCACTTTGTCACTGTGTTGCAGTAATCTCTTTATCATCTTTACCTTTAATCCGCCTGTGCACTTAAAGGCACCTGCTCAGGATCAGCTGCTCCTTTTTAAACGATTATTAAATCAACATTATTATTTTCAACCCTGAAAATCCTCTTTCAGGTACAGAAGCTGCATGTTGTCACCAGTTCTCTTTCTTTCAGGAACTTTAAACAGATTTGATCAAAACTGTAGAATGATTAAAAAAAATGATTTGACACTCACTGGAGGAGTTGTGTTCCTTGGTGCGGGGCATCTGGAGTAAAACAAAAACAGAATAATAACCACGAGACTGATTCACTGTGAAAACATTGAACTTAAAAACAGAACTTTAAAATGTTTTTTCCTCCGCTGTGTTTCAGAGAAAGACACGATGGACGTGTGGTGCAACGGACACAACATCGAGACAGCAGTGAGTGTTTTCTATATGACACACACACACACACACACACACATATATATATATATATATATATATATATATATATATATATATATATATATATATATATATATACACAGTGTGTGTGTGTATTATACATACAGTGTATTATATGTGTTATATTGAGGACATTGTGTTTGTCTAAATAAATAAGTGATCCTTTGTGTTGTGTTTGTGTCAGGGCGAGTTTGTGGATGACGGCACTGAGACTCACTTCACTCTGAGCGATCACCTTTGCTGCATTAAAGCTGTGAGCAGCGGCAAGAGAAGAGACGGAATCATTCACACGCTCATCGTGGATGGGACCGAGGTGCCCGAGTGCACCGAGTAAAACTACAGCCGAAACATCACTGAAACATGACTGAAAAATCACCACAACACAACCAGGACCAAGAGAAAATACAGAATCATTCATATGCTGATCATGGACAAGGCTGAGGTGCCTGAATGTACAGAACAAAACTACAGCCTAAACTGTAGTTGAAACATCACTGAAACATCATTGAAACATCACTGAAACATCACTGAAACATCACTGAAACGAAAACACAACCAGATTCGCACCGAGAGGAGAGAATGATAACATATCATTTGAGTGCACCAAGTACCAAATTCTACCAAAAATATCATCAAACTAAATCTACAGATGAGGAGGGATGAAACATACTCACAAAATAAAAATTTAAACTTGATTTTAATACAAAGAAAAACATGAGATCCCGGTCTATTTCAAACCTACGAACACTTTAAGACAGAAACTGGTCCACCCAAAGGACAAAACACAGAGTCACAAACAAAGCAATGTGCTCTACTCCATTCAGTGTAGTGAAGACTGCAGTGAACGCTACTCTGGAGAAACTAAACAGCTACTTCACAAGAGGATGAACCAACACAGACGAGAGAGCAGCACTGGACCTCAGTCTGCTGTACATCTCCACTTAAAAGCCACAGGCCACTCATTTGAGGACAGCGAGGTACAGATTTTAGCCAGAGAGAAAAATTGGTTTGAGATTTTTGTTAAGAAAGAGAATCCTTCTCTAAACAGAAATGGAGACTCAGACACCATCTGTCTCCTATTTACAACTCCATCCTCAAACTTAATTCAAAACAAACAAGAGAGCAACAGGTGTATCCATGTCAGGTCCAGAGGTGTGGAAGCTCCATTATGGCCATGAATTGTTCTACTAATTAAACCCCACACTCTGTACAGGTCAACAGGCCCAACTAACAAACAGAAACTGTAAACAAGTGTTTGTGTTAGTTTCAGTGTAGTTAGCTCCTCCCTGCAGATATAAGGAAGTGTCCACCAGCATCTGACCAGAACTGAAGAAGCAGCTTGGATGAGCTGAGACACGTCTTCAACCAAACTAACTTTTGTCCAGCCAACAAACTGAATTTTCTCCTCACAAAGAAAAAGACTCAACTCTGATACTGATACCACCGTGACAATAACACACCGTCTTTTTAAACAATAGAATGCAATTTTTAGAAAATCATGGTAGTTCTTTAATATTCCTGTGTTACACTCAAACTGAGGACATTCTAAAACTATTTTTTCAGAGTCCTTCAGCAGGTGTACAAGACTTCACCGTCAGTTGTCATGGTGACTGCTTCATGAGGTCAAAGTTCATGGGATCTCTGCATCCTTTCTGTTTTGGATGTGACTTCATCTGTGCGCCTCCTCGTTTGGGGGTAAAACACTAAATCACTCTCAGAAGATGTGAGTCTGGCCTCCAGTGAAACTCGCAGAGTTCAGATGGGAATGACTGACAGGAGGATTAGCCAATCAGGGACATGCTGCAGCAAAACAAATCTGGCTGCTTACGAGTAAAAAAGAAAACGAAACATATCACAGGGGACTGAGAAACATGGTGAATTTCAGCAGAATCAATTTGCAAAGCACTAAATAAGAAATGTCATGTTTTTAAATGGTGACCAATGAACTCTTTTGTTTCACATGCATCACTGAATCTGATTGGACGATCATGGTTTTGGCTCAAGACACGATAGAAGAAGTGAAGAGCAGACTGTCTGTATTTTTCATACTGAGGGATAAGCCTGGATTTGCCAGTAAAAAATAATTTCACTGTGATCCACCAGGGGGCACTGTGGCGGTAGTAAATTGCATTGTTTTTTAATCATTTAATCTAAGTGACTGTGGCTGTTTAAAATATGGATGTTCAAAAGGAAAACCCACACACGTAGAACCTGGTCAGTTATATCCAGTCATCTGATAAAGTCTGAGGTCAGAGGAACGAGACGTGAGCTCGGATTAAACTACCTCAGAACAGCTCCAGGATCAAACGTGAAGAAGACACAAACGAGTCGTCTGTCCTCTACGTTTGACCCGTCCATCAGTGTCTCTGGGTTAAACCTGTCAAGAGCAAATGTCTCATCTGTACCAATCAGAGCCTCAGACCAGAGCCTAAAACCCGCCCCTTTGTAGATTGACAGCTCTGATCTGTTTGGATGTGTTATATTTCTTTTGTTCTATTTTAGCAGAGCAGATGTACATAATGAGGATTTTTAGAGTTGTAACATTTTTAGAGTTGTTTAGAACTAAATGAGATTAAAGGTCCTATATGACACAACACTGACAACTGTGAGAGGAAGTCAACAACAGACCTGGAGTTGTGTTTGTTTCATTGTTTGTTGTGTTTGTTTCATTCACATGTCATGAGTAACTCTTTATTATTAGTCTGTTTACATCTACAGCTCCAAATGCTCTGTTCCACCTTGTGATGTCACGTAGTGGTCGTTTTCAAGTGAACAGCTGCTTTTCCCTTTTGTTCAGTTCAAATTCCATGGCTGAAATGATCCAAATGATTCTAGTGAAGGTGTGTGCACTTTAAAAACATAGTGGAGCACTTTCTGTATTATCACATGACATCACAAGGTGGAACAGAGTGTGTAGGGTTTGTGTGTTAAACGTGTGAATAAAATAAAACACAACTCCATGTGTGTCTGTGAGAGGAAACATCATTATAACAGCTGAGTGATTGTATCTTTCACCAGTTTTCTGCAGAACTTAACAGTTTTGGTCACAGATGTTTGTGTGAGATTATCTAACTGCTGTTGGTTCTTTTTATTTAGTTTTGCATAAACGACCTGTACAGATTTGCTTTTCTATTTAAGACAATCACTGTTATAACTTGTTATTTGTTGCTCTGTGTGTAATATAATATCAATAAATCTTTTTAGAAAATCATGCATCACTTTGGTCCATAGATTTAATGTATATTTAACCCTCCACAGTTGATAAGTGAGGACTAAACAGCGAAGAGCAACTGGTTTAAAAGTCCACTCCTCTTCCAGACTGAGGTGTGCTCCCCTTCTGTCTGTCTGTGGATGTTTGAAGCATTACCGTAATTGTTTCTGTTTTTGTTGAAGCTCGTCCCTCCGAACTTTAGTTCATTTGTTTACCTGTTGCTATGGTGATGGTCCCTGCCTCGTGATATAGAACAGTGATTGGTGCCAGACCTACCTGTGCTCTTATACAAAAATAGAGCTGCTCAATTATTTTGGTCAATATTGAAATCAGTATTATTCAAATAATTTTTTTCAGTTACATGATGCATTTCTTCAGCATTTCTCTCTTTCAAAAAAACAAAAAACAAACAAACAAAACAGTTTGTTATTGATAATTTGCGCAAAACTTTAAAACTGAAAATAAATAGGCTACAAATATGAACCTTTGAACAGTTTTAAAACATAAAATGAATATAAAATAAACTTTGAACATGAAATAAGGCAGAAGAACATAAATGTCTCTAAAATAAACTATTTATCCTGATGTTCATCTAAAAAATAAAATAAATATACTTATTTCTTATTATACGAATTGTTTCGTTTCAACTCGATTGTATGAGTTTGGAGATCGTTTGACACACAAATTCGAAATCCTGATCCAAATTCAATTAATTGCATGGCCTTATAAAAAAAATAATGCATGGCCGTTTGTGTTGTTCATTCTCACTCACCGTGGTATAAGAATAATCTTCATCCATGCGACTGTGAGATGAATCACTTCAAATCTAAAGCGCAAATTGATTGGACCCAATTAGCCAATCACAAAAGGTGACAATTTTTGAAGTTCTTTTTTCCACAAACAACTAAATCTCGTTTTATTTTGCATAAAAACTGCTAACCCTGTAGTTTAGATCTGTGCAAAATGTTCTGTGATGCCTCTGTGTGTCAGATGCCCTCCCTGTGTCTCCATGAGGTCTTAATGTGCTAAAAAAAAGTCTAATCCTGTAGATCTGTGCAAACATGTTCTGAAATGTGATTGTCTTTTTTCTCAGTTCAGATTTCTGTCTTTTGGTCAGTTCTTTTTGTGTTTAGAATGTGAACTTTGAACAGAATCACATTATTAAAACACAAATCACAATCTTATTGCAATCACTGTTCGATATTTTCCCCAGACGGTTCAGTCCCATCATCCCCCAGACTCCACTGCAGACTCCACTTTGTTATCAAACAGTTTAATTCTTTCTGATTTGCATAGAATCATTACACACTCCTCTTCATACTTTTACAATTTTTCCTTCACAAAATGATTACAAAGTTTTAAAAAAAACTGATTTACAAACAGAACGACAAAAAAATTAAATCAAAATGGAAAATATATTACCATAAAAAGCTTCTGTTCACCGTGGTTTAAAGGTCCTATATTACACAAAACTGAATCTTGTGAGCTTTTAACCACGTTATAATTTTGTTCCCTCCTCAGAAACAGACCTGGAGTTGTGTTTTGTTTCATTCACACGTTTGAGTAAATCTTTGTTATGAGTCTGTCCACATCTCCAAAGCTACAAATGCTCACAAGGTGTTTTCTGTTTGAGGGAAGAACTCCGCCTAAATGTGCAGCGTTTGTGTGTTAAACATGTGAATGAAACAAAACACAAGTCCAGGTCTGTTTGTGAGGAGGGAACAACATTAGAACAGAGATCAGACAACATCATAATATGGACCCTTCAAAGTTTCAGCTGTAATTGTTCGGAAAGTCCATTCTATTTAAAAATGAAGAAATAAGGTTTAGTCCTCCTTTTACACCTGGAAAAGTCCTTGTTTTTAGTTCTATTAGTATTTAGTATTTATAACTATTTAGCCACACATGTATTTGTCAGTGCTCAGTTTAGTCCTGTTGTTTTCACACATAGGTACTTTTCTGACAGGTGAGGAGGAACCGCGGCATGGCCTGCAGGTGACTGAAAACCACTGTGACCTTTGACCCTTCCACAGAGTCACAGCGAGTCTCTGGAACAGGACCAAGACTAGGACCCAGAACTAAACCAGGTCTACCACGCTCGGACTTCCCCTTTAAGACCTCAGCCACAAACAGGTACAGGAACGCCTCTGAGCGATCGGTCCAGGTGTCCAGAGCGGTCTTCACATCTTTGGCGAAATACAGACCCTCTCCAAGACACGCGTCTGAAAAAGAGACAAATGTAAGAGGAGCGGAGCTAGAGGAGCATAGGAGCATAGGAGCAGAAACAGAGGAGCAGAGTCAGAGGAGCAGAGAAACAGAGGAGAAGAACCATAGGAGCAGAGGAGAAGAACCAGAGGAGCAGAGGAGCAGAGGAGAAGAACCAGAGGAGCAGAGGAACAGAGCCAGAGAAGCAGAGGAACAGAGGAGAAGAACCAGAGGAGCAGAGAAGAACCAGAGGAGAAGAATCATAGGAGCAGAGGAGCAGAGGAACAGAGGAGAAGAACCAGAGGAGCAGAGGAGAAGAACCAGAGGAGCAGAGGAACAGAGCCAGAGAAGCAGAGGAACAGAGGAGCAGAGGAGCAGAGGAACAGAGGAGAAGAACCAGAGGAGCAGAGTAACAGAGGAAAAGAACCAGAGGAGCAGAGGAGAAGAGGCAGAGAAGCAGAGGAACAGAGGAGCAGAGGAACAGAGGAGCAGAGGAACAGAGGAGCAGACAGGCGCAGAGAGAGAGATACTTCATTAATCCCGAGGGAAATTGAAGAAGACAGGAGCAGGTTTCTTTACCGTCAGGGGGCGCACACTCGGGCCTGAATCCAATCTGACAGACCATGTCACAGAATCGCGCAGAGACGAGCTGCAGCATGATCTCAGAGGAGCGGGAGGGCATCTGGGTTTTTTGGATGTTAAAGAGTTTCTCCAGCGCTGGGTTCTCCACTTTCTCTGCCTGAAGTCAAACACACTGGGCTCATGTACAAGTATTATCTGTTATTCACATTTCAAGTAAATTGAAAGAGCAGCCTCACACTGGAGGTTTTTCTAACAACTCATCATTAGATTAAACAGAACTTAAAGCCTAATGAGCATATGACAAACTCTCATGATTCTCTCATTTTGACTTAATTTATTGGGATAATATTTGCTCTAAATATAAATGATAATTTTACACCAATCAAGAAGCAATTTGTAAAGAAAGATGAAAAATATGTTGAGAATTACAGAAAGTAATCACACTAGGGAGAATTCTATCCAAAATTTCAGCACGATTTACACACAAAATTACTTAAAACATTATTTCTACAAAAAAGTTTTTTTTTTATATATATATGTATTTGTCCGTTCTGTGTATATTAGAGAAGGTTTGAAGGTAACAATCATAGAATTCCCCAGTGTGATGTCATGATTTCTAATCGGGAATTAAAATTTTAAGTAAAAAAAAAAAGCCAAATTGGGAAACCGAGTGTGAATGTCTTTAAAAATAATAATAATAATGATAAATAAATACATTTTAAATAATCTTAACTAGTACAATTTTCGTAAAATGAGTATATGATAAGTAATGAAAAGATCGACACACACTACAGGATTTTTTGGTCTTAAACAATTTTTAAATGTGCGACAAAAAGGGCACACCACAAACACAAAGAGGATCTTAAAAAAAGAGACATAAAATCCAAACACTGCAGTGGGATCTGTCTGTGGACCACAGGATATAAAGTTGTGAGCACGATTGTATCAGCTGTTTCCTGTCTACAGTAAAACCAGTCGCTCTGAGACTCTGTGCGCTTCTGTCGGTGTTTTAACACCGTGTGAGTTGTGTCCTCCTCTGTGTCTTTGATTTTTTCTTTTTATGAAAATTCTTTTATCAATTGATTCTAACAGTTCCTTTTGTTTGGAACATCATTTGTGCTGACTTTTTAAAGTGAAATGTTGAAGTGAAATTCTGTGTGTCTTGTTTATAAAAATGTGCTATACAAATAAAGTTGGATTGGATAAATACAGTGACAGTTACTAGGCTCAGAATGCACTGATCTGTTCATGTACGAGAGTGGAGCAGAGATGAGCCTTAATATACACACAACACTTCATTTAGAGAAGGAGCAGTACCTTGATGGGCTTCAGGTCGAGGCGCTTCAGCTGCTCCATCAAAACTTTGAGCTGAGGGTCAGATCTGGACACTGGAATCCTCTCTCCTGTCACCCTCACCTCCCCCTTCTGGTTCTCAGCCTTCTCCCAACTCTCTCCTCTATGGCTCATTGGGCTCTGGCTTTTCTGGCTCTTCTGGCTCTTCTGGCTCAGTCTCCTCAGCTCCTCGTGCTCCTCCTTCTCATACTGCCTCTGTGCTTCTTGGATCTTCTGCTCCAGTCTCAGAGCTGTGAAAGCGATGTTCTCCACACTGTTTCCACTCACCACAAACCCAGAGCGACCCTTCTCCAGGAACTCCTCCACCTGCACGCCCTCCACCTGCACACACACAGTCAGATGCCCTGCCATACTCCTGCACACACACAGTCAGATACACTCCCATACTCCTGCACACACAGAGTCAGATGCCCTGCCATACTCCTGCACACACACAGTCAGATGCCCTCCCATACCCCTACACACACAGTCAGATATACTCCCATACTCCTGCACACACACAGTCAGATACACTCCCATACCCCTACACACACAGTCAGATGCCCTCCCATACTCCTGCAGAGTCAGAGCCTCCTCTCTGTGTCAGTCGTAGAGTTTATATTCTGGGCTTGGGCCCTCCTCGCTGAGTTGTGGGGTTTGGTTAGAAAGGAGGAGCAGAGCAGAAGAGGAGCAGAGGAGAGGAGGAGAGGAGCTGAAGAGGAGCTGAAGAGGAGAGGAAGAGAGGAGCCAAAGAGAGGAGAGGAACAGAAAAGAAGAGAAGAGGAGGAGAGGAATCGGAAAGGAGAGAAGAGGAGCAGAAGAAAAGAGAAGGAGAGGAGCAGAAGAGGAGAGAAGAGAAGGAGAGGAGCACAGGAGTAAAGAGGAGCAGAGGAGAGAGATGGATTCTCTTAAATAAAGAACAGGTTAAACTAACCTAAATGATGTTAACACATGAAGCTCTTACTCTCCCACAGTGTAAAAGTCATTAACATAACCTGAATATACCATATGCTCCTGGTCTGGACAGGGTCAGTTAGTGTGTGGACTCGCTCTGGATTTTCTGGGCTCCGTCTAAACTCAGATGCCCTCCCCTCATCTCGGTGTGTCAGATGCCCTCTCTGTACCTCCATGTTGGACAGCTCCTGCAGTTGTTTGTCTCCGAGATGCTGGATGAAGTTGTTGCAGATGCAGACTACGTTTTCCTGGTTGTGGAGCAGAGATGTGACCCAGGCCTCAGCCTCAGAGCGGCTGCGGTCTGAGTGGCTGTGCAGACGGAGACACGGCTGTGGGGGGAGCTCCTCTGGTCTGTCCTCACGGGCCCAGGCTGCAGACGCTGAAGCACAAACACGTACATGAAGTGCCACAGAAAGAATTATACACCTAAACAGTTGAAACATTTCTAAAAATAATATTCAGGTTATGATGAAAATCCAGATTTTTATTTAGATCAAAGTTTAGTCTTGGCCTGGTTCTGTCCTGGTAATGTCCTCATTTAACCCTGATTTAACCCTGGTTAAGTCCTCGTTCAATCCTACTTTTGTCCTGGTTCAGTCCTTGTTTAGTCCTGGTTTAGGCCTGGTTTAGTCCTGGTTCAGACCTTGGGTTGGGGGCAGAGCTGGTTTTGAGTTCAGACTTTGAGCTCCTCCTGGGAAATCTGTAACATCAGAATGAAACTGCTGTAAAGATGTACACACACAGACTTTTGTCCTTTGTATTTAGTTTGATAGAAATATGTAAATGTGTCAAATACAACAGTGTTTTTTACTCTGAGGGGGTTCCATCTGGAAAGCCTTTGGTTGGAGGGATTTCAGTTGTTTTTCAAACGCCTGAAATGAAACAACATTAGTTTGGTGAACTGTGCTGGGAGCTGGTGGTTTGGGTCCTGTTCATACTAGTAAGTCAAATGCATCATATAAATAATTAGTACTTTAAAGAAAAGAAATATAAAGTCAACAATATATCCACTTTTTTTTGCTACTAAACTCTGATGTTTTGATAGCATTCTGTACTGTTCCTAGTGCATTTTTAGCTATTTTAACTGCAACTTTCTGGTCAAAAATGGTCAAACTCAAAGTGTGCTGCCTTCAGTGACCTCGACAATTCCAAGTACTATGTGATATCAGGCAGGACTGCCCTGATTACAGCCAGGTTCCTGAATACAAACATGTGGCTGCAGGGGCGGAGCTTGAAGTGTGGATACCTGTTAGAACAATCACACTCCTTACACCTCCAGACCCCGCCCCCATTCCACCTCACTCTCCCCTTTAGTCCTCCAGACCCCCCCCCCCCCTCACTCTCCCCTTTAGTCCTCCAGACCACCCCCCCCCTCACTCTCCCCTTTAGTCCTCCAGACCACCCCACCACTCTTCCCTTTAGTCCTCTGAGTATTGCCCAGTTCAACAGCTCTATTTGGATAGTGTCTGTTATTCAGACTCTGGGGGTGAAGTGTCTTGTTAAAGGACACAACATCAGTCCCCCATATGACTAAGTGTTGTGTCGTGCCCTTTGCTTGTGTTGATACCTTGAAACGATGCACGTCTGAGGGGAAGATGACGAAGTGCACATTTAAAGATTTGACACATTTTTGAAAAAAGTCCCACACAGCATTCAGCATGATCTGAGCTGCCTCCTCATCCCCGAAGCCCAAATTCCCAGTGCCGATGGCCGGGAACGCGATGGAGCTGTGCTGAGAGGCTACTGCCAGCCACAGACAGTCCTGTACAGACTTGAACAACACCTGAAAGACACAAAATATATTATGTATTAAAGAGTAACTAAACGCCCGCCCATAGCATTATATACATGTGATCATGTATTAATAATATATTAAAGCTATAGTTCTAATCTCTGACATCTATGGATCATTATGTTATAATCTGAACTTTTTAAATCACAATATTCATCTAAAACAATTTCATAAAAGAAACAAGTCTACTGACTTCTGCAATAGGAGTCATGAAAACAAAGCGCCGCCTGCTGTCGGCCCCTCTGCATTTTTTTTCATTTGTGCCAAAATGACAACATGACACAGCTGAATCCTACGAGTATCACCAATTAAGAAAATAAAACTTGAGAAGGGAGTGTGTACGTCACAGTGGGCGTGTACAGGTGGAGCTGAAAATGAGGAGACCAGAGCTGTGATGTGTTGAATCCAGGAGAATAAAGATGACTCTAACATGCACGAATCACTCCAAATACAAGTTCAGAGGTCAGTGAGAAGAAACTACTACAACATGGTTAAAAGTCTAGGCTAAAGAATAGGTTTGAGTAACTAAACACCCTCCCATAGCCTTACATACAGTATGTCCCATCATGTATTAATTACCTGGTCAGATCCGAAGATGCTTTTTGAGGGGCAGCAGGTGTGGTAGACCTCTTTACAGTCTAACTTAAAGCCCTGTGTAATGATCACAGACCCATTGGAGCGGGCCTGCTTGATCTGGTCTTGCATTTTGGAGCCAGCTTTCTTTAACAACATCTTGGACACTTGGCCCATGCTCAGATTTCTATCCGGCCCAATGGTGTTCACGATCACATCCATCTGAAACCAGAGAGATCATCCAACATAGTATTACTCACACTGAGCTTCATTCATGAAGTGTTTTATGAACACATTTGTACTTAAGGAAATCTTATGAAGATTTTGGAATTCACAAAATGTTTTCTTAAGGGAAAATGTTCTTCTGGAAGAACAAATCCTACAGTCAGTGACTCATAAGAAAAAAAAATCTATTGTTTTAGAACATTAATACTCTGATAATGCAACAAAAAATTCAAATTCCTCCATAACTGTAAGTTACATATTTTCTTAAATTATTTCATATAAAAATTGTTAGTATATGAGCCTTTATACAGGCTGCAGTGACAGTCTCTAGTCTGTCCCAGTTCCAGTGCTCTCCATAAGGGCCACAGTAACAGTAACAGCCCTGCGTCTGCTCACCACACTGAGCTCCTAAATGCATACACATTTTTATGTAAACGACATGTAACTGTCATTTAAGAAGGCATGTGGCTGCTTAAGAACACTTCTGCAGTTCAGGGAGGGAATTCTGGAGGTTCTGAGCTTTCAAATGAGGCCTGTCCATAAACTGAGAATGAGACAAATGCAGGATGTGTCTCTATCTGCAAGTGAAGGCTCTGGGGACACAGGTTCAGTTGTGATTGTAGTACATTTTTAAGTTGCGTTCAGACTGCAGTGTCAGGGCACTGAGTTTACATATAAAGTCTAAGGGTCATTCCACGCCATTTCAACAAATGGCCCACGTACTTCGATCTCAAAATTTTTTTAAAAATTACCAAATAGTCCCTTACTATCATGTACCAGGGTTACAGTTAACCCTAACCCTCAAATATATATTTTTTCCAACTAAATGTGTCAAACGTGATTGATGCCACAGTCTGAAGGTGTTCAGTTTACATGCAAAATTGGTGCAGATGCATGCCTAGGTCATCCTGTGGTGCGAATCTGGCATTGACATGGCACATCTTGAGTGTTCAGGCACTGGATGCTCTGGATATGAATCCAGGGTGTCCAACGCCAGGAGTAAAAAAGCTGGACTTTTGGACTGGCAGTGACATAGCAATGTCACACCATAACAAGAAATCTACACCATGTCACAGGACTGTGCCAAAAATCAAAAGATCGCAATTTCTACTTTAATGGATCTCAATGATAAGACACACATTTTAATCGACAGGTCAACAGCCAATCATGTGGCAGTAAGAGCGAGTAGTGCTGATGAGGATTTAAACTCTTGTTTAGGAAAAAGTAGCCTGAGCCACAGCATGTCCCTTTTTTTCCTCACATGTTCACAAGTTTTGACTTAAATCTGTACAATTTGACTAAAACTCCAGTGTCTCTCCCTCTGCCTCTGTGTGTGTGTGTGTCTGTGTGTATGTGTGGTGCCATCTGACCGCTCCCCTTGCTCGGCCAGTGGTTTTTTAACACCGCAGTCTGAATGTAGCTTTAGAGCGCAGGCTACTGTAACAAACTGCCCACTCAGCACATACAGTACATACAGTTCCTTTAAGTGATCACAGCATCACAATAATACTCAACTAATCAATAAATCTAATCTAACAATCATTAATCTGGACTAGACTAAATGAAACACCTCATGTGTTGGAAAAGAGGTTTTATCACTAATACAATGGTGATCTGTGATTTTGATGATATATTCTCCCTGTATGGAATGCTTAAAACATCTCATACCTTCTGCTCCTCCAGGTTTCCCTTCCTCAGGATCACCCGCACTGTTCCTAACTGTACTTGGGGAAAAGGAGGAGTAGTGTCGCTTTTAGCTGCTCCTCTGGTCAGGGGTGAGTTTCCTGCTGCTGCTGCCTGGCTGTAGGACACAGGGGCAGGGAGCAGGAGCCTGGTACACGCCCGCCTCATCTCCTCCACTGTGGGGTCATCATTGTTCACCAGCAGAACCTCTTTGGGCTTAAACCTGAGTAAGAAACAGAGATTAAAAACACACAGTGTAAAAATAAATAAATCAATAAATGCAAATTTTTTTTCCGGGTGTTTTATTGATCTGAAAAACATAGAAAAAATTGTGTCCTTACTGTGAGTGGACATGTGTCTCCACAAACCTGACTCTTATTTGGCCTGGAGAAAGGCCTTCTGCTGGCATGGAAATGCTTTTAGCCACAGGTGTCAAACATAAGGCCTGGGGGCCAGATCTGGCCCTCCAAGACCTTTAATGTGGCCCTTGGGTGATTTTCTCCTAAAATATTTTAATTATATTTTCTATTAAAATATTGGTAATTTTCTGCACCACTCAGCATAGCAGTGTCTCCAGCACCTCTGTGCGTGGCCCCTCCCACCAGAGCAGCACAAATGAAGACTTGTCTCTTTCCAAACGCTCTTAAAGGACGATTGTTTTGACTGTTGACCATGACACCCTCATCAGAAAAATGGCCAAAATGAGAAAAATGTACTTATTCCTATTTGCATGTAAGTTCATGTTAAAACATTGTGTTGAAATTTAATTTTTCTTAAAGTTTCAGGTTGTTCGTAATATTATAATATTATAATAAGAGCATCAATTTAAAAAGATTTCTGTAATAGATTTGCATTTCTCTGCACAAATATTTGAACTTATTGTTATTTTTGGGGTTTATATGACATGAGTTTTCTGACCCGGCCTCTTTGGGATCAAAGTAGGCTGGATACGGCCCCCGGACCAAAATAAGTTTGACACACCTGCATTTAGCTATAATATTCCACACAGTATGATATAAAATGTATCCATCTCCATAGAAAAAATATTTATCTGACCAGCCAGAAACACATGCTCTGACAAAACTTTACAAAGACAAGTGGATCTGGAGCCGTCTCCTGTCTCCCTGATTTAAGAGGGCATGATTGACAGGCGGATTAACCAATCAGAGAGAGACGCATGCTCTGTTTACGTCAAACAAACACGGCTACTTACATAGAAACAAGGAGAAAAACAACATAAACTATTACTTATCTTAGGTAAAAGAAGTGATATATTTGGTTTTGAACAAGAGTTTTGGAAAGGAGATACTGATTAGAAGAATAATTAGAGGTTTTTCACACCGGTAAGGGACCGGCTGCTCTGGTTTTAATTTTCTGTTTCCATGGAGTCATGCAGGTGACACGCCACCTCAAGAAAGTTATACAGTGTTGATTTCATGATCATTGACCCCAGATACAAATCCTTCCTTCACTTCGTCTCATCACATTCTGTCTGTGAGCAGCTTTATCTAATCACACCAGTCCAGCATAAGTCCAGCTCATCACACAAATACTGTAGTAGTAAAGCTTTTTATCATCTTTTGGAGCATAGATACATAGATACAACAACACAGTTAAAAACTGACATATTTACACAAATGTTCACTACAAAATAAGCACAAAAATACATTCATTACTTAACATTATGGCCTAAATAACCCTGATTACTGAGCATTTATTTAGAGACAAACCTGTGAGACGTGTCACTTCCATAGAACTTCTTCACCGTGCTGACTATCACCTCTGCACATTCGGACAGCGGGAAGTTAAAAATTCCAGAACTTATGGCTGGAATTGCCACTGTATCAAAACGTTTTTCCTCCACTCTTTGCAGCACACTCCTGATGGTTCTCTCCAGCTGACCTGTAGCCAATGAAACCTCATGGTGATTGGGTCTGAAGGACAGGTGAGGGCCAACAGCGTGAATAACAGCTTTGCACTGAAGATTTCCTGCTCCCAAAACCACGGCCTCTCCTGTCTTCACCTCTCCCCAGCTCTGGACATGATCATCACTCTCTTTTTGAATCAGTGGTCCTCCTGCGGTGGACAGAGCCAGGGCCAGACCTCCGTGATGCTGGAGCTTTGAGTTGGCCGCGTTGACCACAGCCACAGCCGAGAAGTTTCCCAGATCCGCCTTCCACACGGACACTCGGACACCAGAGGACAGTGTGGTCTCGAAGCGTTTGTCAGGGACTATGTGTGATCTCTGCCCTGGGCCCAAGTCCAGGTCTACACCGAGGATCTGGGCCTCGCAGTGAAACCGGGTCTGGAGCAGGTCCAGGAGGATTCTGCCGGAGCTGCGAGCGATGTGCACGGATGTACCAATCAGAGGGATGTCCAGAGTGGTTGGGGGCGGGGCAGAGGAGGCTGGGGACAGAGGAGCAGGTTAGAATCAAATATATTGTAATGCAGTGGCTCTTAAAGAGGAGCTACTTCTGTGGGGAAGTAACTGCAAACACAAAACAAAGATCAGCATGTTCCTTCTTATTGGGCCTCATTCATTAATCTTTTCTTAAAAGATTTTTGTAACTTCCACTTTAAGAGGATGCTGAGAACTCTGCACCAGACTCACAAAGTGTTCTGATGCACCCGAATTCCTTCTTAAGTGACAGTTGCACAGAATTCACTAACATCAGCTACAAACACCGCCACACCATTTACATTTCATTTACATAGATATATAATATGTATTTGGTTAGAAGCGCCGTCTGAACATCCAAACATGGCCAATATGGATTTGGCTTTATGACACGTGAAAGTGCGAGGGAGAGAGTGATGAGGAGGTCAGGTGGAGCGCCTACAGACTACGACTGTTTTACAGCTTCAGTCACTCACTCATTCACTACAGCCTGTCTGTTAGACTCAATACACCACATACCTCATACCTCATAAACGTTATTGGATCACATAGTAATAAGGTTATAGGAAATAATTTAAGAAAATATATCATTAAATTTTTTGTTGCAATATAAGAGTAATAAATAAATAAAACAATGTAATAACGTGTTTTAAAAGTGTCAAGTTACTCCCCCTTCACAGCACTAACACTATCACAGTGCAATCCGTGTGTGTATTGCTAAAAAGCAGGTCTAAAACAGCACTAACCCATGAAAATGTAGGTTTAAAACTAAAACCCAAAGAAGGACAAAACATGAATATATCTGTCTCTAAATAAAACGACTGCTCAAATTGTAGGGCCCTGTGTTCCTCCAGAAGTACACACACCACACTTTGAGAACCGCTGTTATAATGATGTCACCCACAGCGTTCAGTGCCTCAAATAAGCTCACAGGCTACAGGAGGTTATGGGGGTAAATTTGTAGCATGTAGAGTAAGTCAAACTGAGAAAGGGTCAGTAGGAGCTGAAAGAGAAGCGTGTGAACTTCCTATTTGGAACTATTGTTGTAGAGGTTTTCAGCTTGTCCAAGAAAGGATGGAAGTAAAAGGCTGGAGACCAACTGGATGTCTTCAGCAGGAGAAGTTTATTTACCATCAATAATACGGCTTGAGGGGACTTGAAATAGTATGATTTCAAAAGAGAACATAGTGTGATCTCCTTGACTCTGCTTCCAAAGGAGGAGGTTTATAAAGAAAATGTGGTGAGACTCTGAAGGCCAGTAGACTTTGGTTAGTCAGCAATATGTCACAATTTAGATAATGGTGCCAGTGGTGTGTCAAGGGAAGATCATGGTGTAAATATAAGTTTTGTGAGACAATGTCAAACTGAGATGTACATGGAAGATAAATGACTTAAATTCTCTTATAACTATGACCATTTATATATACAGTCTATGGTTATAATGTATTTAGTCTGTCTGAGGCTAAGATAAGGTTAATGTACACTTTATTCTCCCTGTAGATAAATGTGTCTGCATTTGACCCATTCTTCAGTGTATCTGGGATAAACCTGCATTTGACTGGGAGATAAAAGGTCTGGAAACATCTGATAAAAGTTCTTATAAACACTGGAAAAAAAAAAACAAAAAAACAAAAAAACAGATGCACACTGCAGTTCTTTGGAGTTCATTATGGTGGTGCTGTTAAAACAGTAACCAAAGAACTGCTGTGTGGATCTAGAGGTGTCAAATTATTGCGTTAACTGCGATTAATTAATTACAGTCATATTTAACTCATTATGTTTTTTAATCTTGTTAATTTCATTTTTAATCTCTAACTTTACTGTTTCTGTATGCGGGTTGCCTTATTATAAAATCTGTTTTTATGAGTTGTTGGGACACAGTCGTTCCCGCAAAGAATTGTAATTTTCATTCCCGTTCTTGCTGCATCTGTGATAAACCTGCACATGTCTGATCTCTGAAAATATTGTGACACAGACAGAGTAACAGACTCACCATCAGCATCAACATCCCTCTGTCACAGAGAGAACACTCATATTCCACTGAGTCATGTCCTTTAATCCGACAGAAGCTGAACCACATCAGCGACACAAGAGCGTTTTTTTCCCCCCTCCACTTAGTTTATGCAAATGTGGTTTAAAGTTTTGTTTCTGTGAGACTTGTGCAAATCTGCATTAAACACATTCTAATGTCAAACGGGCTGATGTGGCTCTAGAGTTGTTATGTTTATATGTTGTAAAGTTGAGTTTATTTATGCAGGTTAGTAACAGTAATAATGATGATGATATTGTGGAATGTAAGTGACTGCATCTGTTCAAGTTTGTTAAACAATAAATGACTTTATAAAATCACTTTTTTGTTCTATATCAGTCTTTTGATCTGCCACAATAACATAATAATCAATTTAAATGAAAATACCTCAAGTTGAAGCTTTTCTCAGCAATTTTAGAGGTTAAATAGATTAATTAATTACAGATCATAATTAATTAATCTCTCAATTTTTTAATCTCTAGACAGCACTATGTGGATCTGTTTTTTGTTTTGTTTTGTTTTTTACCTACATTTGACCCATCCTTCAGTGCCTCTGGGTTAAATCTGCTCCACTACATTTTTGAAGTGGACTGAAAAGTAAAAGTATTTTTTTTGATAGTTTGAGACCTGCTGAAAAGGATGAAGATTTATTTTTTAACATGTTCATAGTCTGAACAAATATACAAATAAAAACAGTTAGGAAAAAAAAAATCAATTCAGTTGTTTTTGTTGATGAAAAATCTTTAACAAAATCACTACATCTAAAGCTTCATTAGATCTCAAAATCTGCGGGAAATACTTTTAGTTTTTACTCTTTAAGTACATTTTTAAAACAGGTACTCTAATACTTTTAAGTCTTTTTATTATGTGATTAGGGGTGCAACTGTTGTGGGAAAAATTATATATCTCTTGATGATAAATAATTAATCAGTTTGCGAAGCCCGATGAATTTTTGGAATACAGACCAAGGTTTATTCTTGTTGCAGCAGATATGGACGGGGCCTAGACCTGCCCTGACCAACAGCCTCTCTCAACCTGCAGCATGTCCCTACTCCATTTGTCCCCACATGTTACAAAGCACCAAGTTTATAAACTCTGAGATGACCAGAGGACATAAACATTTCAAACTGAGAAGGTGAGGACTCCTACTGAAGTGTGGCCCGATGTGCTTCATCTGATTTGCTCCATATTCACTCATTTGTTTCCTGACAAGATTAGCAAGCAAAAGAGAACAGAGGTATTTACATTGAAGGGTCTTTCTAACAAACCAAATGAGTTTTAGTTACAAGACCAAATGTGTTTCTAAAAGATAAACTAATCACTATTTTAATGTAATCAATCATAATCAGTATTTTCCTGTGGCCGTCTGGTCTCAGGTATAAATCACATTCATTTACACAAAGACAGATTGAGAGAAATCTTTCCACAATATACATTTCCATCGCAGTAACAATCAGTGTTGTGGAGTAACAGATTACATGTACCGGAGTTATGTAATCAGAGTACAAATTATGAGTAACTGTATTTGGTTACAGTTACTGTTTCCATGAGTGGTAATTGGATTACAGTTACTTTGTTGAAATAAATGGATTACACGGCAGTATTTTCCTGTTTACCTGTTTTCACATTTTGGGCTATATCCTTTTTTTTCTTTTCTTTTTTTTTTTTTTTTTCAGTAATTCCACTCATTGCTGGAACCTTAACGAGGTCTAAACTAGATTTAAACCAGGTCTAAACCAAGTCTAAACCAGGTCTAAACTAGATCTAAACTAGATCTATACCAGGTCTAAACCAAGTCTAAACTAGATCTAAACCACGTCTAAAACCAGGACTAAACCAGGACTAATCCAGGACTAATCCAGGACTAATCCAGGACTAATCCAGGACTAAAACCAGGTCTAAACTAGATCTAAACTAGTTTTAAACCAGGTTGTTAAAGAGTTTTTCAAATTTTGTATAGATGATTCTTTGTCTTATTTTATCAAAGGGTATTTCTCATGGGAAAGCCAATTTCTCATTAACTGTTTATCTTCCCTAAGCACATCCCTCCCTTACACCTCAGCAGCTGGCACACACACGCACACGCACGCGCACACACGCACACACACACACACACACACACACACACACACACACACACAATACACACCTTTATTCTCTGTGCTTTTTACTGTGATAGAAAAATGTAACCGCCCATTTATTCTTGTAACCTGTGTGATTCAATAAATACGTGATGTTGGACGGTGTCTCTTCGGCAGTTAAGTAGCAGCACCTCTGTCCCTCGCCGCGAGTAAAAACCCTGAATTCTGCCTTGTGTTAATATCTCTGTTATTTTCTGACACAAGTCTAATCCAGGACTAAACCAGGACTAAAACCAGGTCTAAACTAGATCTAAACCAGGTCTAAACCAGGACTAAACCAGGACTAAAACCAGGTCTAAACTAGATCTAAACCAGGTCTAAACCAGGACTAAACCAGGACTAAAACCAGGTCTAAACTAGATCTAAACTAGATCTAATCCAGGTCTAAACCAGGACTAAAACCAGGTCTAAACTAGATCTAAACCAGGTCTAAACCAGGACTAAACCAGGACTAAAACCAGGTCTAAACTAGATCTAAGTCAGGTCTAAAACCAGATCTAAACCAGGACTAAACCAGAACTAACCCAGGACTAAAACTGGATTTAAACAGGATTTAACAGGATTAAATCCTGCTGCGTGGACTGTGTCTCCTCCTCTTCTATCAATAATATTTTTTATTTGCTTAAGTAAAGTTTGGGCTTTTTATTTTCTTTTAGGAGACAAAACATCTTATGTCAAGATTTCCTCATCTTTGTTTCTCTACAGCAAATCAAGTAATCCAAAGTATTCAGATTACATTACTCACTTTAAGTAATTTAATGGATTACGTTACAAACTACATGCTGGTGTGCGTAATCTGTAATCTGTAGGGGATTACATTTTAAAAGTCACCTTCACAACACTGGTAACAATAACCAAAATATCATGATATTGTATCATGTCAAAAGTCTCTCAATAATATCGTGGGCCGTCACAATATATCGAATCACAAGTCTCTTTGCTTAAATTCAGAGGGAATTACATAGACCTTGCTCCGTTTGGTGCAAACTACACAAAGAAATAGCAGTTCTAAGCACTTTTAAATCTTAGTTCTTTGAATTAAGTCTTGTCAAGGCATTTTAAGAGGGAAAAATAGCATATTCACAATTTTGTTAGTCTCCACAAAATATCACAATAATAATGAGATGTATATCGTAAAAATATCGTACCGTGAGATTTGGATATCGTTACATCCCTGTATGTGATACTTTTACTTTTATTTATAATGACTTTGAACAATCCTCAAATGAGCTCATGCCAGTACATGTCTGCTCTGAGAAAAAACTGGGCACAGAAACTCCACACTTTTTAATGAACTTTATGGACTCATTTGGGTGCTTTGTATATATATATATTTTTTTTTTTGGTATACAGATTTAGTTTTAAACTATGGACTGAATAATGTTCGTGTATAAATACAAAAATAAAAAAATCTCCGGTATTGTACTTCTACTTGGCAGTTACATTCCTCAGAGCAGCTTCCTGTGTGTTGTTTTTGCGCATGTGGCTCCCTCTGCTGGTGCTTTGTCTGTACTGCCCCTCACCGCGGACGCAAAGAAACAATATTTAACACCTGGATGACGCAAATGACGCCATTTTGAGACACCTGACTGACTAGATCAATATTATCTTAAATGTGCTCAGAAAATTGTGAAACATTGGCCCTTTACATGCGTCTCTCCTTTCTCCAAGATGTTTTAAACTACGTAAAGTATCGTACAACTCTCAACTGCATTTCAGTGGCAAACTTTACAAGAAAGAGACACTTTATAGTGAATACACAATAAAAAATAAATAACCACAGTAACTGTTTCGAGCCACAGCATTATTTATGCCCTGGATCCTGGCAACAGCCCTTCAGTCGTGACAAGGAAGCAAAATAAGTTTTAAGGGATGTACAGGATGCACTTTCGTTTTGCCATACACTTTAGTAATAAATACAGCTGAGTAATTCTGAAACTAAAACAAAACCTGGCGGGCAGCTGCATTTGATGCATTAAAACAACTACAGCAGCTCAGAGATCATCATTACACGAAACAGAGAAATAAACTCAAATCAAAGTTGTGCGTAAAGATGTTCGTTAAACTTAGAACGTGACGCACCTCGCTCCTCATCTGAAAACGACACTGCGCACGAAAACATCTCAAAGTTTAACGCTAAACGCGTTGTCATTTCATTTGTAAAGTCACAAACATGCTAAAAGAGGCTAATAGATAAGCTAGCTGCGTTAGAACCAGCAGAAATACTCACCCATTTTGGCGCAGGAAAGTCCCGAGTGGAGTAAAAAGTGAAAGCGCTGTGCCCGGACAGGTTTGGATGGCGTGGGCCGGTGCCAGTGCTGTTTGTCAGGCTCACCCCGCGCTCATTCGTCCCCGGTCCGCGGTGCTCTGTCCCCGGTCACCGCCTCTCTGTGTTTCCCCGTTCCCACTCTCATTTCTGCAGAAACAAAACCGAAAGTGATCAGTACGCGGCGGACACCATGGCTGAAGTATATCAGTACGCGCTGCTCGTGGAGTTTGAACAAAATCAAGTTCCTAAACTGAGGAATAAGTTGACAAAGTATTTCCAGAGCAAGAAGCTGTCCTGCGGAGGAGACTGTACCGTGGAGCATGAGAGCGGCAGCCGGACAGCGGTGCTCAGGTTCCGGGCAGAACAAGGTAAACACACCGCCCTCAGAACTCAGATCCTGAGGGTCAAGACTCATCTAAAATAATATAACGACAACTTTATCAAGTGTGAAGAAAATGACACGGTGTCACTTATGAATATGAAAGTTTAAAAGTTGTATTTTTTAAAATCTGTAAATGTAAATGTGTGTAAAATATTGAGCACTCTCAAAACAGACAACTGGAGTCTGCTGCTTTGAATCAAGGACAAACGCGTAAAAAGGAACATGTGAGGGTCATTTTGAACTTATTCATAGTGTTATATGTTTTTGTTATAGCTGAAATTCTTCGTGAAATAATTTTAAGTCTAGTCTCTTCCTCATCAGCTGAGTGAGTGTAGCTCCACCTAGAACCAGTGTCATAACATGTCAATCAGGAAACAATAAAGATCAGAGCTGTAAAGTAGCCATAAACATTACTCAAGTAAGAGTAACGGTACTTCAAAATAACATTACTCAACATTACTAGAAGTACAAAGTAATGGTACAAGGTATTACTCAAGTAAACGTAGCCTAACTTAAAGAGGAACTGTTTGGACTTGATCAGATTTATAATTTGAAATGAAAGAATTTAAAGAACAAAACATTAAATCATGCACAAAATCTGGTGTTTCCAAAGGACAGACACAAAAATGAAACAAACTAAATCATTTGAAAGAGCTGCAAGAAACATAAATGTTCACATGATTGCAGATTGAACATCTATTCTAAATTTATAATATTATTGAAAACACGGAGCTGAAATAAATAGCAGAATGCACTTCAGTGCTTAGTTTGTCACAGCACTTCACAATTCAACCCTCTACAGCTCAAATCTTTTTATATTACCCCAAAATAACCCAAAATATCTCCTGTAGCTCTAAGAACACTGGACACGATTGTTCCATGTGTCATAGTGAACGATAAGTGAATATAGTGATCACCGGGACAGGCCTGTGTGTATGTTTCACTCTTGTTGATATTGGTCTTATATTTGGGACTAAACAGTTTTAATGTCCTTTTGTTTTGTTTTGCACAGACCAGAGGAATGTTCTGGAAAAACAGTCCCACCAGCTCCAACTGGGACAAGGAGAGCTCCACCTCACTGTGCGCCTCATGTCACACGGACAGGTACTCATCCTCTGGACAACTGATACTGATACATCTGATCGTCAATATATACTGGGGCTGTGATGCAAACTTTAGGCACTTTTCTGTCTTACATTGTTCTCAATACTCATACTTCAGCCTTAACTTTATTTTAACACAACCTGACTGAAAATGACTTAGTTAGAACAGCAACAGGTGAGCTGATTTGTGCTGTTTAAATTCATTTAGGTTTTTTTTTCTTGGTTTTCAGAGAATCTTAACACTTTCTGGTAGTTTTTGCTAATGTGTGCATTGTGCCCCAGCATGACGTCATTGCAAATATCAATAGGTCGAGACATCAGCACATTGTTGAATCCCTCTAGTTTTACCTGAGCTGGAGACAGGTTAGAATTCTCAGGTGGAGTTTGCTGTGGCACTGTCAGATCACAGACGTGTTGACCTGGTTTATGGATCATCTCTGTAATTCCTGTGCACAAAGATCAGTGTTTCTCTGTCAGCAGAAATAAACTAAAGTGAGATTGCTTAAGAAAGTGGTGCCGTTACTCAATCCCAAAAATGTGAGTGTTTCAGCCGAAAGGACTTTAAACTGTAAGATAGTGTGTAGTTATTTACCCGGGACAGCCCCAGTTTTGAGCTCTGTGTCCCCTGTCCCAGCAGATTTATACAAAACCATTGATTTGTCCCAGTTTTATACAAGAAATGTCCCAGGTGTCCCTATTTTGGACCAATATGATCCCTGCCAAGAGTAAAGAGAGACATACATTGACATCTGTTTATGTAAAATACAGAAAAGCTGCTTTAAAATAACCAAAACACAGAAAAAATGTGACTTTACTGACTCACATTTTAATAATGAATGGGCCAAGTGCAGAACAGTTTTCCTTAATTACACACTCGATTTACTATTTTATTATTACCAACCATAACAAATTGTAGGTGTCCCAGTTTTTGATTGTGAAAATCTGGTAATCCTACCATAAGATTAAGACAACAAGTCTGTAGAGCCGATCCCTATCAAAGAATGAGAAGGTTCAACAATCAGCAAACTTTGCATACAACAAATAGTATTAAATGACAAGTAATGCAGTACAAACAATACACAAATCACTGTCTGAGTCACTGAACTATAGGTGTAAATGTACTGTAACAGAAATATAAACTTAGAGAGCAATAACAGACTTTATATTCATATTCTAATCCTGAGACATGAACCTCAATTTATTTTATTTTATTTTATTTCTCAGTGAGTTCCTCTTTAATAGTCTGACTCTGGACTGTGGTGTGTCTTTACAGGAATCTCCCGCTGATAAGAAAGGCAATAAAAGTGAGTGCTCTACTTTTTGTTTCACAAATCTGGGTTTATATAACTCACTCTACGAAGAACAGGTTTGTCAGCAAAATTCCAGCCTGCTTCTGTCTGCTCCTCTGACTCTGCTCCTGTGACTCTGCTCCTCTGGCTCTGCTCCTGTGGCTCTGCTCCTCTGGCTCTGCTCCTGTGGCTCTGCTCCTCTGGCTCTGCTCCTGTGGCTCTGCTCCTCTGGCTCTGCTCCTGTGACTCTGCTCCTCTGACTCTGCTCCTGTGGCTCTGCTCCACTGGCTCTGCTCCTGTGATTCTGCTCCTCTGACTCTGCTCCTCTGACTCTGCTCCTCTGACTCTGCTCCTCTGACTCTGCTCCTCTGACTCTGCTCCTCTGACTCTGCTCCTCTGTGTCTGCTCCTCTGACTCTGCTCCTCTGGCTCTGCTCCTCTGGCTCTGCTCCTGTGGCTCTGCTCCTCTGGCTCTGCTCCTCTGGCTCTGCTCCTGTGGCTCTGCTCCTGTGGCTCTGCTCCTCTGGCTCTGCTCCTGTGGCTCTGCTCCTGTGGCTCTGCTCCTGTGGCTCTGCTCCTCTGGCTCTGCTCCTGTGACTCTGCTCCTCTGACTCTGCTCCTCTGGTTCTGCTCCTCTGACTCTGCTCCTCTGACTCTGCTCCTGTGGCTCTGCTCCTCTGGCATAGCTCTAAACTTGAGTTGTTTTCTCCAGCCCCTCCTTCCACAGACGTCCACACACACAGAGCTCCAGGTGGGGGTGATGGAGAGATGCCTGCCTCTGTGCCCAGCTCCAGTGCTCCTCTGGTGGGCTCCTCTCCCTCAGACCTGCTCCTCCCCACATCCTGCCTCCTGGGGAATGTCCCTATAGACATGACCCAGGAGTTTGTGGAGATGTTGGTGGAGAACATCATGAAGAGAGCAGAGTCTGCAGCTCCAGAGGGAGTTACGGTGGAGATGATCCCGGCTTTAAAATCCACTGTGGTCACCTTCAAGACCCCGCAAGGTACTGCACTGCAAGAACTAGTAATGTAGTAGATGTACTAGCAATGGTGGGTAGAGTAGCCAAAAATGATATTCAAGTAAGAGTAACATCACTTCAAAATAATATTACAGAAGTAGAAATACAAAGTAGTGGTCCAAGAAAGTACTCAAGTTACTTAAAGTACTTAAAGAGTAACTGTCATAACATCAGACATAACTGATTTATAATTTAAACTTAATATAAATGGAAGTACAAAACATAAAAAAAAAAAATAAAAATCACAAACAAACAAGAACAAAAAATGAGACAAACTAAATCATATCTGGTATGGTCCAACATAAGACAGTGAATAATAATGGTAATTATAACCTGTGATTAAAACAAGGGCATGCATTATAAGAAGGTTAAAATAGACTTTGATTCAAATACAAAATATACAGAAACCATCAGTGTAGATTAATTATATTTAAAGTCAAAATGCAGCATGGTGGCTTCACATTAAAAACCCAAAACAAGCACAATAGTTCAAATCTTCCAGCTAGTTCAACATTTGTGTAAAGAAGTAGTATTTGCAGTATTCATTAGGGATGCACCGATCCAGGTTTAGGATAAATGGTCTGACCCTTGGTTTGAGAGGGAAGTGAAAGAAGCCATTTTTGTGAAGAAAGAGAATCCTTCTCTAAACAGAAATGGAGACTCAGACACCATCTGTCTCCTATTTACAACTCCATCCTCAAACTTAATTCAAAACAAACAAGAGAACAACAGGTGTATCCAGGTCAGGTCCAGAGGTGTGGAAGCTCCATTATGACCATGAATGGTTCTGCTAATTAAACCCCACACTCTGTACAGGTCAACAGGCCCAACTAACAAACAGAAACTGTAAACAAGTGTTTGTGGTAGTTTCAGTGTAGTTAGCTCCTCCCTGCAGATATAAGGAAGTGTCCACCAGCGTCTGACCAGAACTGAAGAAGCAGCTTGGATGAGCTGAGACACGTCTTCAACCAAACTCACTTTTGTTCAGTCGACAAACTGAATTTTCTCCTCACCACACATGAAGCGTAAATCACCTGCTGTAGTTCAGCTCAGTCAGCGCTTTTTGGTTAGACTGGGTTGAAAAACAAAAAAAACAAAAAAGCAACAAACTCCAAGCTAAAATAATTTGAGTATCAGCTTCAAACTGAATTGGACCTTCAGTTAGCATCACACCTTGTGCAAGTTGCGTTAAAACTGAAATGTGTTATTTATGACTTAATACTGTCATTTGTTACATTACAATATTACTGCATTTAAAATGTAAGACATTACATTACTATTACAGCACTTTTAAGTTATTCTCACCAAAATAACCATGACGATTCTGAACTTTTGCACCATATATGGACTGAACCAGTACTAAACCAGGACTAAACCAAGACTAATCCAGGATTAAACCATTACTGAACCAGGACTAAACCAGGACTAAACCAGGACTAATCCAGGATTAAACCATTACTGAACCAGGACTAAACCAGGACTAAACCAAGGCTAATCCAGGAGTAAACCATTACTGAACCAGGACTAAACCAGGACTAAACCAGGACTGAACCAGTACTAAACCAGGACTAAACCAGGACTAAACCAGGACTGAACCAGGACTAAACCAGGACTAAACCAGGACTGAACCAGTACTAAACCAGGACTAAACCAGGACTGAACCAGTACTAAACCAGGACTGAACCAGTACTAAACCAGGACTAAACCAGGACTAGACCAGGACTAAACCAGGACTAAACCAGTACTTAACCAGGACTAGACCAGGACTAAACCAGGACTGAACCAGGACTAAACCAGGACTAAACCAGGACTGAACCAGTACTAAACCAGGACTAAACCAGGACTAAACCAAGACTAATCCAGGATTAAACCATTACTGAACCAGGACTAAACCAGGACTAAACCAGAGGAGTGAGGTGCGATCGGGCGTCAGTTGCGGTTCGCCCCGTAGATTGCAGAGTTCTGCGTCAGTCCTTTTGCCCGCGGTCACCGGACAGTCTACACGGGCGTGTCTCTGGTGTTTCACCGCTGCTGATATCGCTGTGATTTTAGCAAATTTGTAGGAAGAAAAACGAAAAACCCACCACTTCAATCCAAGTTAAAAAAGCATTGTAATGCGCGTTACTCACATTTGTACTGAGTAAAATATTACTGTTTTTTTCCCTGTAATGCCACATTACTGTGTTACAGCAAAAAGCAACGCATTACAGTAATTCATTACTTTTATAACGTGTTACTCCCAACACTAACCCCCAGTACATGTTGATGACATCTGTTGCAAAGTATCAATACTTTTTGTTTTTTCTTATTATTTGTTAAGAAGTTGTTATGTATTTGTTTGTAAATTGCAGTTGAATTCTAATATTTGATGATGATTCCAGAATGCAGTGAGTTTGTGGCGCGCTGCCCTCAGAACAGAACCTTTAAATCCAAGTCGTTGGAGGTGAGAGCTCTGGAGCAGACCAGGCAGGTTCTTCTGGAGGACACAGTGGACGAGGAGCTGCTGAGGCTGTACTTTGAGAAGGAGGGAGTGGAGCTAGAGACGGCAGAGGTCCAAGAGAAGCAGCAACGCATGGTGCTCACATTCCCTACCCCTGCTGGTAAATATGCTCTCACTCTTCTCTGGAATCTCTAACTCTTTCAGATGTTTGGTCCTGGTTTCATCTTGGTTTATTACGTAGACTCTTAGCACATCGTTACAGTCCTCTACTGACCTCCAAACAGGAAGTGAGCATGGGTGTGCTTCTGTTCCATAAACACGTTGTCTTTTCACTTTCTATTGAAGAAGTGAGTCCCCTCTCTCTGTAACTGCTGCTGTCAGACTTCAAATATTCACATTAACCTGCCCTAAATTATAGTTTTTTTGTTGTTGTTGTTTTGTTTTGTTTTTATTTCACAATTTTGTGGGTTAATCAAGATATGAATGTTAATAACAGACCAGTCAGGCTCCTTCTTTCTCCAAGGTCGCTCTCACTAGTGTTAGCAACAGGTTTAATGGACAGCTCCCTACTAAACCAACGATGTGCACGGGAAGGGACATAACTTTCAACCTGGAATGCCTCTTTGGTTGCTGTGATACTTGTGGCCAAAATTCCAAATATGGAACTCCAAATTCACCTCTATAACTGCTAGCCTTGATGAGCTTCATTTGGATGCTGTGGGTGACATCAAACTTCCTTATTCTACTACAGTCTTTGGTGTGATCATTCTTGTGTCTGTCTCTTGTCTCAGATGTGCTCCGGCTGCTGCAGAAGCATCACCAGCTCCGTAAGAAGCAGCTGAAGCTTTACCCGTTTTACCAGAGCTTGGGCCGGGCTCTGTACGGTGCAGACAGACCCCCCCTCCGGCTGCCCGCTCCTTTGTGCGAGTCCACAGATCCGGCTCTCCTCCGGTTCTTCTCCAGCAGGACCTCGCTCCTTCAGGGCCTCCGCTCACAGCTGCAGACTCACTGGTGCCAGCTAGAACTCAACCGGGACTCTGTGAGCCTGAGTCCAGAGCCTCAGCTGCTGCAGCAGGAGGAGCAGGTGATCGGGGACTGGACTGAGACTGTGAGGTAAAGCTCTGGAGGTGTAATGTGAAGATATGCTGGTCAGACTGGAGATAACTGTTGTATGCTGTGGTCATTTAATCGTTTTTATCATTTTTATAATTAGCAGAAGTTTTGTCTGATTTTACGCAGCAGCTTTAGTGTTCAAACCTCACCAGAACTATTAAAACCACCACTGGTTCTTTTACTTTTTCCCCTTTTTAACAGTATTATTAGAATTTGTCAACTCAATATTACATACAAACTACAATTTGACCTCAGTTTGAATGTCTTTGGCAAATATCAGTTATCACCATGAAGAGACACATCATATATGTGAACACAGGAGAGTAATGGAGCACACAGCGTCAGACACCTGCTTTTACCTCACAGTCACTGTTTAGTGCTTCTGTTGATTCTGCACAAATCCACACTGTTTCTCAGTCCCCTGTGTTATTTTTCTTCTTTTTTACTCATCTATTTAGACACAAATGGTCCATGTTTTTGTCTCACTGGTTAATCCGTCTGTCAAACACGGCCATCATAAATCCTGGAGACAGGCTCCAGACTCTACAGTGTTGTAAAAGTGACTGTGACAAATGTTAAATGCCCAAACATAACTCATCATTAACACTAATTTCATAATAACAACAACAATAATAATGATAATACTGAGCAAATCAAGATTACATGATTACATGGGGGGTTATTTTTACCTGTGCGGTATAGTGCCCAGGGGCGCCACACTGGCTTAACACAGCTCTAGTGGCAATTGTGCGTCCATGTGCATGCATTGGGACTTTTTGTAATTGACACACAATTTTAGCAACTGAAAAGAGGAATAGTATGTCCATACTGGTGTGGCTGTGGTAAAAATAAGAAAACACAACTGTTACACTAAAAGTGGCTCCTCAGCAGTTAGAGTAGAGCATAATCTGCAAAGACAAAGTAGTAAATATTATTAATTGTACTTCTCTAAATTATATTGAAATTACACCAAATGACAGTGATTTTAGTGGGAATTCTTGATTTACCACAGTAATAGAACCCCTGTAAAAATAGTGCATGGTATTGGTAGTGGCGTTATTACAGACTGTCACATGTTCTCTTCTCTCCAGGTCGGTTCTGTCCCTGTTCATGTCGCAGTTTGAGGTCTATAAGTTAAACCCTCCTCCTGATCTGTGGAGGGAAAGTCTGGACAAGATCTCAGCTCTTCTGAAAAACCAAAACCAGGTCCTGATGGTGCCAGACGAGACCAACGGGATCCTAAAAGTCGTGGGACTCAAATCGGACATCTCCAAACTCAAAGAACAGCTCTGCGACTCCATTAACTCGCTCATAAAACGGGCGCGCAGAGAGAAGACGCAGGTCATGGACCAGATTGACATCCCAATAAACATCTTCAAGCTACTTTCCCAAGACGGCCTCCTACAGAAGCTCCAAAGTGTCTACCCAGAGATCAAATTCGACATGCACGGACCGTTTCCAAAAGTTACCGGGCTAACAGAAGAGATCGTCGTCATAAAGAGTGAGATTTATAAAGAAAGGTCTGAGCTGGAAAGTCAAAATTTAGAAGTAGACAGTTATGTGCTGGAGTTTTTAAAATCAGGTGAACAGGAGGTCCTGATGAACGCACTGCTGACACAGAAACATGCGGTTTTGGACATCTCCGGAAATCGAATCAAGCTTTTGGCATGTACGAGGAAAGACGTGACAGATGCAGAGGAGTATTTTAAGTCGGTGCTTGTTTCAAAATATGTCAGCGCTGAGGATAGTAACGTGCTGCAGACGATCGAATGGCAATCACTGGTGGATGAACTCGAGAAACATGAAAATGAAGGAAACAAGAAAGTCCAGATTAGGGAAGAGAAAGACCAAGCTGTAGTGTCTGGGTTCAAAGAAAATGTGATGAAGGTTAGCCTAGAGATTGACTATTTCTTAAAACAAAACGCTCATATTCAAGATAGTGTTGTCATTAACCCTATCGCCAAACTAGAATACCTCCAACTCTTCTCGAAGCCAAAGATAGATGCTATGAAAGATAAAGTGCAGGTTTCATTTACAAAGGATGGCGTTTCTCTGAGTGGCGCGAGAGCCAGCGTCGAAGAGTGTTCAGATTTAGTCAAGAGTTTGGTTGCGTCTGTCGCCTTTGAATCACTCAACGTCGCCAAACACGGGGCTAGGAAGATATTCGAGGACAAAGATGACAATTACCTGTCGATTATTGCCGATAAAACAGGCTGTTTGTTGAAGATAGTGGATGTTGTTGATGCTAAACAAAATACTCCTTTAGGTAGCCTTTCACCAAACTCGGTTTACATGATCAAAATGCCCAATGGAGTGGAGATCGTAGTTTCTAAAGCAGACATGTGCAGCTACCCAGTGCACACTGTCGTTAATGCGACAGTGGAAGACTTACAGCTCACCCAAGGACTGTCTGCTGCACTGTTAAATGCCGCAGGCCGACAGCTACAAGTGGAATGTGATAAGATAATATTAACAAAAGGGAAGCTCAAACCAGGAGAGTGTGAAATAACGAAGGCAGGTGGAAGTCTGCAGTGCCAAAACATCATCCACACGATCGGGCCTCAGTACGACAGGCAAAATGTAGCAGAATCCCACAAGCAGCTGAAGACGGCGGTGACGAGGAGCCTGGAGCTGGCGGAGCAGTCCCAGTGCAGCTCCATCGCCATACCAGCGATTAGCCGAAACCGACACTTTCCGCTAAACGAGTGCGCCCAAACCATTGTGAAAGCCGTCAAAGAGCACTGCGAGAAGAGACACGGCTGCCTGAAGAGCGTCCATTTTGTGAACAATGATGACGTGGCGGTGAGAGCGATGGAGGACGCCGTGAAGATGGAGTTTGGAGGAGGAGGAATCAGTCACAAAATAGCCGCTGTTCCTGCTTCTTCTAAAGCGGCCTCGGCTCCGTCAGCGTCAGCTCCGTCAGCGTCAGCTCCGTCAGCGTCAGCTCCGTCAGCGTCAGCTCCGTCAGTGTCGACTTCGGCTCCGGTCGACCAAAACTCTGTGGGCAAAGAGCTGACCAAAGAGGGAGTGGAGATCTGCATCCTCAAAGGGAACCTGGAGAAAGCTACGGTAAATGCTAGTGTTTAGAATCTGTACTAAACAAATAAAAGTTGTTATTTAGTCTTGCTTTAGTCCTGCTTTAGCTGCTTGGTTCAGTCCTGCTTTAAGATGTGTTCATTCGCCACATGAAAATTGGGAGTTAACCTGGAACTAAACTTGTACTAGATAAGGATTAAACAAACGACAAGAACAGGATCAAAACTAAGTCTACATAAGTTTTAAACTGGACCAAACCAGGTGTGGACACACCCTTAGTCCTGCTTTAGACAAGGTTTAGTCCTACTTTAGTTTAGTCCTGATGCAGACCTGGTGTAATCTTCTTTCAGTCCTGGTTCACTCTTTCTCTCTTCTCTCCTCAGACGGATGTTATAGTGAACACATTAGCACAGGACTTGGTTTTGTCTCGGGGGGCGGTCTCCTCTGCCCTCCTGTCCGCTGCCGGCCCCTCTCTCCAGACCATGGTTCAGACTGTGGTCCAGACCCAACTGAACCAGACCGGGCAGAACCAGTTGGCTGTGGGGGACCTGATCGTCACTGAGGGTGGAAACCTGAGCTGCCTGAAGGTCTTTCACGCTGTGGCTCCTCACTACAACCAGGGACAAGGCAACGAGCAGAAGGTGAGGTGTGGAGACAGCTCTGGAGCTGTACATCTGAACTCGACTAAAGACATGTCCTGATGATCAGTTTATGTCAGATACACAGAGATTCTGCATCTCTGTGTATCTGACCTAAACTGCACTCTCAAGACTACACCTGCAGGGAGAGCTCATGCAAAAACTACTGTTTCTGCAGAAAAAGGAGGAGGACAGTGTGTTTATATAAAGACAGATTAAAGGGGGTATTATGTAAAGTGAACTTTTTGAAGCTTTTAACCATGTTATAATATTGTCCCGTCATCAAAAACATGACAACAACTTGGTAAACCTGATGTGATGTGCAGTAGTTTCATTAGCAGGATGCAAGCTGCAGGCTGATTGTGCAGTGATAGTGCTCTGAAGGGGGAGTGACTTAGTGTGGAGATCATAGGGAGGGAGAAAAACAAAAGTGAAACATATAAAACATGTTAATATATTGTTTTTTGTTAATATAGCATTTTCAAAACAGTAAAAGGTAACATGGTGATCAAAAATGTCTAAAGTCTCTTTAACCTTGTGAATCATGAGTTTAATCTGCCTTTTTACATGTAAAGACCAAAAATACTAAATCTTCAGCTCCCACACTCACTCACTTCTCCTTTCTGCTGTGTCCCATACACATCCTGATCATCTAAAAACATGATTAGTCAACTACAGTAATATGAGTTTTATTCAACTAAGACTTTATCGACTGTTTAATCGACTGAACGACTAAAGGACTATAGCCTTACGGAGCACAGTGAGAGGATCCCGGGTTTGAGTCCCAGAGCAGCTTTCTTTTATGTGGACTTTGCATGTTCTCTCTGGGTCTGTGTAGTTTTCCATTGGCTGTGCTGCTTTTAAGACCCTGTACCCAATTTTATTCCATATGTTTGTCTTTCTCCAGTACAGATAGTAGCTCAGGTCAAAATACTGTGCACTGTCTGCATCTAAATATACATTTATTGTCAGAGAATCAGGAAGTGCACTGTTGTTGTTGAATGCATAAGGTAAGTGAGGAAGAACTTTAGACCACTGCAATCTGTTTAAAATGAACTAGTTTTGTATTTTACATTTTGAAGACAGTAAACATCAGGTACAGAGACTTTAAATGAATGGTGTGTGAGCCTGTCTCCTGGTGTTTGGTCTTACAGCTGCTGAGTGACCTCTTCGGAGCCTGTCTGTCCAGAGCAGAGGCCCTGGGGATGTCCTCCATCTCCTTCTCCGCGATGGGAACTGGAAATCTGGGCTTCTCCAAATCTCTTGTCTTCTCCCTTATCATGGAGAAAGTCCTGGAGATCAGCAAGAAAAAGCCCAAGGCCCTCAAGAAGGTCCACGTGGTGCTGTACCCTAAAGACACAGACACCATACGGGTGAGACAGGCCTGGCATCAGAACACATTTAAGAGCACCATTGATTACTAGTGCTACAGAGAAAAATACTGAAACTACTTTATGTCACTGACACAAAACAGGATAAACCAGTTTTAAAATATACAGTATTGAGCTGCAACAAATAAATAACCAAATGAGCCAATAATTAGCCAGAAGTTATTTATTGTCCTCTCTACAGCTCAAAACTTACTTTGTTATTGAAAAATGTCAAATATCTTGATTGGTTCATTTTTAATTTAAAGTTTGTGTCAAGACACAAACAATAATCATACACATATTATATATACATTATAAAAAACAGAAAAGCACATTTTTCAAAAAGGAGCAGGAAGAAATATTACAAATATTTGTAAATACTAAAACAAATTTTATTCTATGGTTGTATAAATTAACAGTGGTTGACTGTGCATTTCACAGCTAGGCCTTCAGTAGTGCTGTTTGAAACAATCCACTCCTCAAGAACTATTTTATGATTATAAAAGCATCTTATTATACAGTATTAAATTCAGTATAAAGAGCCATTGCATCACAGACAGATAACTCCTGTAGCCACAATCAGGAGTGTAGTGAGCGTGGTACATGGGGGTACGCTGTCCAACCCACTTCTCCCAACATGAAATATAAAAAAATCACAAATATAAAATAGCTACAACTTAAATCTTAAACCAGAGCTATTGGCACTGGTGAAATCAACCTGCACAGACTCATGAAATCTGCAGTACTGTCTTACTGAGACATGAGGGACCAGGGCTGAGCTGGGACTGAGCCAGGACTGGGACAGGACTGGACCAGGACAGACCGTCAGGTGACTGCTGGCGAAAGGACCGGTGTCTGGCACAAAAGTCCCCACTACACCATTGGTCATTAATAATAGTAATACATAGTGATAATAATTTGGATTGGTGTAACTGCTACAGATGCAGTTTGTTGGTTCACTCTCTGACTACGGGTGTGAATCCGGTGACGTTGTCGTACACCTGCTAAAGGCCCTGGTGACACCAACTCAAAATCTGATTGGATGAAGCAACAGTTTCATGGACATTTCTTTTGTGTTCGAGGGCCTGCAGAACGACTTGTGAAGGCGTCAGGGACACTTCTTTGACTTTGACTCTGCCTGGCAACAAATGATGGCTGAAATGTGATTGGCCAAATTCTTTAATATGAAAATACATGTCTGGAAACTACACAAGCTCTGAAAGGAAGCAGACAGACCATTTGCAATGATTTAATAATAATAATAATAATAATAATAATAATAATAATAATATAATTAACATCAGTCTATGATTCAGATATTTTTTAGGCCAGCAGAGAAGGCCTTGCAGGCCCTGATGGCCCACTAATAATAATGATAAAGAAGGCACAGAAGTTTATCATTTACAGAACAATCGTGTGTTTAATTAATAGTCATGGTTTACTTGTGAAGACAGTGGATCTAGTCTTTCAGGTATTTCTGTAAGATTAGATTTTTGTATTGTTTTTGAAGTGCAGTTAGTACAATAAGGTCATCTAACCTGTTCTATAAGTCTGCTCCACATCTGTAACACAGACACTTGAGAGTGGTTCCAGAGAACTGTTTTTTTTTATTCATTTGAGCTCTCAGGTTGTATTTCATTTCATTTGTGCAGAACAGTTTTTGAATGTTTGTTCTGGGAGCAGGTTGAGTTTAAATAAGATTTGGCATGTTTTATATTTTATCAGGTCTCCACATTTCAATATTTTTGATTGGCAAAAAAGTGCATTCATATATTCTATGAGCTATTCGTGTTGCTTTTTTTTGGTAATTTAAACAATACGTCTGTGTTACTTTTATAAGCATTTCCACAGACCTCTACACAGAAACTTAAACGGGGTAAGATAAGAGCACAGTAGATTATATACAGGGCTTTTTTATTTAGGAGAAATTTGGATTTGTTCATCAAGGCTGTAACTTTTGCAATTTTGGTTTTAATTTTATCAATATGGGGTTTTCAACAAAGTTTGTGATGAAGAGTTACACCAAGAAATATGTGGTCAAGTACTCTTTCTATGGGTACATTTTCAAGTTTAATTTACGTTTGCAGATTTATTTCACGGTGTCCGAAGAACATTGCTTTTGTTTTCACTATTGCAAATAAGTTACACACAATAAGTATTGTTCCAGCTTTCATATTGAACCATAAGTCTTGTGACAGGCCTGGGCTGAGAGTCCTGTCTCCTCTCAGTGCGGAGGTTGTGGGTTAGACTCCTGACCTCTGAGTGGAGTGTGCATGTTCTCCCTGTGTTACTGACTTGTTATCTTGTCTGTTCTTCAGGTTTTCAGTGATGAGTTTCAAAAGAAGTTTCCAAAAGCAGGAGGCTCTTCTACAGCTGCAGCAGCGCCCTCTGGAGGTACACACACTGTTTATTAAATCAGACCAGTTCTGCAAATTGGACATTTACGAGCTTTTAACAATGTTATCGGAGTGAAGTTGTATTAATCACTTATTTTGAAATGAAAAAAAACAAAAAGAAAAAAAAAAAAACGCTCTGCTCTAGTGTGATGTGCAGCTCTTCATAGGAGGAGCCCACAGCAGGTGCTGCTTTGTTGTGATGACGTTTACGGTGATGTCAGCTCCCACTGGGCACCGCTGTTTTCTAACATACCAGTCGACGTTTTTAGCTCAAGATTGTGTTTTAAAATGTTCAAATGATAACATAATGATCCACAGGGGTCATAAGTTCTCCGTGTCTTCTAGGGCCCTTCTCTAAGGTCGTGTCCTCTGCTTCGATGCATGAGGCAAAAATGGGTGGAGTGTCAGTGCAGGTGGTCACCGGTGACATCACCAAAGAAACCACTGATGTCATCATCAACTCGTCCAATGAGAACTTCTCCCTCAAATCAGGTACACTTAGATGTGAACAAACTCTGCTCAGAATGGGACTGTTACCAGTTAAGTGAGGAATAACTTTGAACCACTGTAAACTGTTCAAAATGAACTGGCTCTGTTTTTCACCTTTTGAAGACAGTAATAATCAGGTACTGCGCCTGTAATGATGAAATGATAAATATATCTTTACACTGTTCTGTCTGTGAGCAGGAGTGTCTAAGGCCATTCTGGAGGCAGCCGGACCTGCTGTGGAGAGCGAGTGTCAGAGCCTGGGTGAGACTTGAAGGGCCCATACTGCACTTTTTTCTGATCTACTTCTGTAATGGAGTTTCCTCCTCACAAACACACCTGGAGTTGTGTTTTGTTTCACACACACACAAACCCTGCAGATTTAGGCTGAATTCTTCTCTCAAACAGAAAACACTCTGTTCCACCTTGTGATGTCATGTGGTAAAACAGGAAATGCTCCACTGTGTTTTTTAAACTCTACACACCTTCACTAGAATCATTTGGATGATTTGTGTCTTGGCATTGCCCATCTCTACTGAACTAAAAGTGAAAGGAGCTGTTCACCGAGCCAAAGATGTTCATTTTGTCTTCTTATATACTTTAAGTTCTTGGGTTCTTTTTAAAGACAATGCAGTAAAGTGTGTTTACCTTGTTGACATGTTTCGACTGCTAGCTGCAAGCCATCTTCAGAACTGGTCCGGGAGGCGTGGTCAGTCTGAGCGACCTGCCAGGTCCATCAGGCTGATCTGAGGATTTTGAGCTTTGGAGATGTAGACAAATAATAAAGGATTACTCAAACGTGTGAATGAAACAAAAACAATGCCAGGTCTGTTTTTGATGAGGAAACTACTACTACTACTACTGTCACCGAATTTTCATCACCTGACAAGCTCGAGATCAGACAGTGACAGTCAAAGCACGCACAGAGTACTGTAGTGCAGAGTACTGTAGTACAGAGTACTGTAGTACAGAGTACTGTAGTGCAGAGTACTGTAGTGCAGAGTACTGTAGTACAGAGTACTGTAGTACAGAGTACTGTAGTGCAGAGTACTGTAGTGCAGAGTACTGTAGTACAGTTAAGAACAGCAAATGGTGAGGGTTAAAGTACGAAAACTTGACAGAGAGTGCCAAGTTTTCAAAGAACAGTGGATGACTGTTTATTCTGTTGTTCAGTGTGAGGATCGTGCAGTTTGTCTGATATGTAAACAAAGTGTGGTGGTTTTCAGAGAATATAATGTGTGTCGTCACTACGAAACCCGACACAAAGAGTATGTTACCTTGCGAGGGCAAACGAGAGAAGATAGGATTCAGTGGATGAAAGGCGGATGAAGTGACTGCTCAACAGCATGTATTCTTTCATCGGCCGACCCGACCCTGGCCCCCCATCACAGTCAGGAGCCATAATGTGGCTCCCAGAGAAACAAGTTTGTTGATGCCTGTTTTAGATGAACGCACTTAGAAGACATGTTACCAATAGATTTTATTTCTAGTTTGCTCTGTTGTCTCTGCTGCTGTAGGTTCATTAGAGGTTTAAAACATATCACAGACAAACACAGATATTCAGATGTCAACATAAGCCTATATATACAAGGATGTTATAGCATAGGTATGTCAGATGTAGTTTGTCCATGAATGTGTTGCCATAGGGCCTGAGCCTAGTTAAGATTAGGCACAAACCTGTAATGGTTAAAGGTCAGCAAAAGGCTTTAGGTTCGTCCAAAAACAGTGGACTTTTGACATGGCCGCTCTTTGTTTACTATCAGGGACCTGTGGAGGTGAGTCACGTGAGGATCATCTGGATGGAGGTCTGCAGCCAGATCCCTCTCGTTAATCTGCCTCTTGTTAATCTGTTAATCTGATTTGCTTCTTTTGTTTCAGAAAAATACTGAGATTTAAAATTTGCAAACCATTATTAACATAATGATCCATAGAGTGTCATAGATTATAAATATAGAGCACATGCGATCACAGTAGGTCTGATTTTATAATAATAATAATAATAATAATTGTTTAATGTCTGTCCCATGTTAGGAGCTCAGCCAAACAACGGTTGGATCCTGACGCAGCCGGGGAACCTCAAATGTAAGAAGATCCTTCACCTGGTGGGACAGACCAATCCCACCAAGATCATCGCCACCGTACGAGACGCTCTGCTCACCTGCATCAAGCACTCTTTCACCTCTGTCGCCTTCCCCGCCATCGGCACAGGTGGGGGGGCATCTGACACATGGGGTGGAAGGGAATCTGTCGCACAGGGAGGGCAATTAGTACACAGGGGACAGTCCTGCACCGGGTGCAAATAGTTGCTTAAATGGGCGGGTTATAACGTTCAGTAATTTTACTGGTTTAGACCTGGTGTAGTCCCGGTCCAGTGCTGGTGTAGTCCTGGAGATCGGCTCTGTGATTTGTGGTATGTACTTATGTATAATCCACTAATGACACGGCATAGGTTCAGTCCAGGTTCAGTCCTGGTTTAGTCCTGGTGTAGTCCTGGACTATTGGGCTGCTGGACTAATGGGCTGATCCTAATTTATCACGGACGGGTAACAGGTTTGGGCAGGTGCAAATTTAACTTTGATGTAATCACAGGTTAACGGGTGGGTGTGGTGCTGTACTGCGCGGGTGCGAGCGGGTGTGGGTCTCCAAAAATAGACCCGTGCAGGACTCTGACACAGGGATGTGGGAGAACAGTAGGGCTACAGTAGGGTAGAGGAGGATGGGAGGGCATCTGACACACCTGTTTCATGTTGGGACTGCAGGTCAGGGGAACGTGGCGGCGCGGAATGTAGCAGACGCCATGCTGGACGCGGTGGTGGAGGTTCTGAGTAAAAACCCAAACACTTGTCTGAAGACCGTGAGGATGGTGATCTTCCAGCCACAGATGCTCCGAGATTTCCACGACAGTCTGCAGCAGCGCTCCGCCTCCAACCCCACGCACACACACACGCACACAGACAAGACCAAGGAGAGCGGCATGCTGGGAAACCTGGCCTCCAAGATCAAATGTAAGTCCCATTGTTTTAAAGTACAGATGACAGGTTAGACTCATTTCACTATGAGCAAAGAGGCAGTATTCAGCTAAATGGATATTTTGAGCTTTCTACCATTTTATAACGTTGCTCCCTGCCTGTACAAAGCTCCGCCCACAAGCAGTCATCACCAGTGCTCTCCATAAATATTCAAAAACATGATAGAAAACAATAACTGAGTACATCATGACAAACCTGAAGCGATGTGCAATAGTTTCATTAGATGACATAACATGACATATTTACATTTCATTTCAATTTTCATCACCAAGCTCAAGATCAAACAGTGACAGTCAATGCACACACAGAGTACTGCAGTGCAGAGTACTGCAGTGCAGAGTACTGCAGTGCAGAGTACTGCAGTGCAGAGTACTGCAGTGCAGAGTCATGTTAAAGTATGAAAAGTTGACATAGAGTGCCGAGTTTTCAAATAACAGTGGACAACTGATTATTTTTTTTGTTCAGTGTAAGGAGCGTGCAGTTTGTCTGATATGTAAAGAAAGTGTGGTGGTTTTCAAAGAATTTTATTAGTGTCATCAGGGTCAAACCTGTTATACGGCCGACCCGACCCCGGCCCCCATCACAGTCAGGAGAGATAATGTGGCCCCTAGAGAAAAAAGTTTGGTTATCTCTGCATTAGAGGGATGCACGTTGATTGCATTGTGATGTCACTCTGAAGAGGGAGTGACTTAGCAAAGAGTGTAAAGAGAGAGGAGACTCTAAAACTGAAACTCATAAAACGTGTTAATAATATGGTGATCTAAATGTGATAGATAGATGATAGCTAGCAGTTAAAATCCCTCTGTTTAAATATGTCATCAAACTCTTGCTGGTTTCACATCATCACAACATTATATCAGTCAATCATATTTCACACAGATGGGGGCAGCTCAACTGAATGTTGTTCAGATGCAGATTTGTGTTGTAATACAGTGAGGTCATGGCTCTAGTCCCTCATAGAAATGATCAGGTTCAACATTTGTGAATTAATCAATAGGAAATCTGTCTCTGTTGCCACTTGGGGAGCATGACATCATCACTTTCTAGAATCTGAAAACCAGCAGTATGTGCCATGTGTATGTGTATGGGTCAGCAGGTCAGTTACAATTGGCTTCTTGTCTTTGTTGTCAGCGTTCTTTGTCTCCTCGTCACCGGAAAAGACCCAGAAGAACTCAGACTTTGTGATGGAAGCTCTGAAGCCCACTCTCATCTGCTTCCACATCTGTGGAGAGTCTGTGGCTAAAATCAACTCAGCCAAACAGAGGATTGACTCTCTCCTGTTCAAGAATCTCCAAAGCATCAACTTCGAAGACAAGACCATCCTCAGTCTCTCCCAGGTATGACACCATCATCAGGGTCATTTAGAATCAGGACACAATAGGACCATAAAAGTTAAATGTTAAAAATATATAATGTTATCTCCTCATCAAAACATACCTGAAAAGGTTTTAGATGCCAAGTATGTTTAAGTATTTTATAGGGATGTAACAATGACCAAAATATCATGATCTTGTTTCATCAGAAGTCTCACAATAATATCACGGGCTGTCACAATATATCGAATCTCAAGTATTGTTGCTTAAATTAATTGTTATGGTGCAGCAACAGCTAAAAGAACTACAGGGAACTACATAGACCATGATCCTTTACTCTGTTTCAGTCCAATTTGCACATGAAATAACTGTTATTAAGCACTTTTAAATCTTAACTCTTTGGTTTATGACAAAAGGCTTGTCAAGGCATTTTTAAAGGAACGCAGTATATTCACAGTTTTGTTACCCTCTACAAACTATTGTAATAAATATTGTACCATGAGATGCATATTGTGAAAATATTGTACCAAGAAATTTAGATATTGTTACATCCCTAGTATTTTAGCAATCTCTCCTGGGCAATATTCAAACCCTCCATACTGTTAGCTGTAAGATTCTGTACAAGGCTCCGCCCACAAGTCTACATCACCCAAGCTCCCACACAACATTTTTCCATAAATATACAAACACATGATATAAAACTATACTCTACACCAGGGGTGTCAAACTCAAATTACCTGGGGGCCACATTAGATAAAGTCTGAGTGAGGTTGGGCCGCATTGAGTATTCGATAAATAGCGGCTGCACGGGAAAAAAAGAGAGAGAAAGAACAACATGCAACACTTTCTTAATCTTTAATAACAGTTCAGAACATGAAAATGTATTCAGATCGTAAGTTTAAACTAATACGTCTACTCTTCTTCTTTTGCCTACTCCTTGCTGGTTGAAACCAGGCTACGCTTCATCTTGTACAGCTGAGAGATATTTGGCTTGCAGGAGGAAGCAGATCCTCAGGATAGATTGAAGATGCTCATCAGTGAGCCTTGACCTGTATTAGGTGCTTTCACACCGACAGTATTTGGTGCGCACCAAACGGTCCATTCGAACCAGAAGTGGTTAGCTCGGTTCGTTTGCGTTGGTGTGAAAGCGTCAATCGGACTCTGACCCGAACCAAATCAAGCGGACCGACATCTCAAAAAAGAGGTGGTCTCGGTTCGCTTGAATCCGCACCAAATGACCAACTTTGGTGCGGTTCCTCTGGTGTGAACGTGAACCCGGGTCCAAACCATAGACAGCAGGTCCAAACGAACTATTCTAGATGCATCATGGGAGAAACGCGTCTCCTTTGCCTGTAATGACGCGCTGTACGACTCCAGCGCAGTAACAGATTGTTGTCCAGACGCAGCCGCGACTCATTTTCTAATTATTTTACCAACAATGGCCAATAAAGAGAATGTAACACACAAAGATCAGAGCAAGTATCAGTGTGCGAACGTGTGGCTCCAGAGTGAGTCAAAAATGGGGGTGTGTACTTCTGTTCAGGACCTGCACGTACAGAGAGGTCCCGGTGTTCCCCGTGATCATGTAGGAACCAGCATTTGTTATTTTAGGCTTTAATTAACCAAATAATTTTATGGCAATAGGCAATCGCCCATTCAATTGATTCACCTTTAAAAAATGTCCTGCTTTTAGTCTAGTGTGAGAAATACAGTCAGACTAGATCCAAACCAGAGTCCTGAACCAGCGGGGGCAGCTCCGGTTCTGTCTGGGCTCAGATGACGTGGAGCGGGGAGTGAAAAGCGCTTTTCCCGGGAAGAACCAAATGCGGACACCAACTAAACTGGATTCACGTTCTGTCCGGATGCTTTGCACCACCTTGGAACCAGCCGCGGTTCTTGAGCGCGGAGGACAGGAGCAGCACAGACCTGTAGGTAGTACACAGCGCATTCTCACTTTCCCCGCACGGAACACGGAACCAGCGCACAGACGCCGGAATGTTCCCGCTCAGACCCAGTCATTGCGCACTGGTCTTGCTCGCCACCATCTGGAACCAGCACATGGAGGACAGAGCCTCCGGACCATCTGACCAACGCGCTTGTAGGACGACAGAAGACCAAGGACCAGACCCCAGCGCTATCGTGAGGAGCTGCGCGCTACTGTGAACGCTGTTGGCTGCTGCTGTTACCCGAACTCTGGACTGATGCGGTGAGTTTGTACAAAGTTCTACGTTGCTGTTTTATGAGTTCATGGTGATAAGATGAGGACGGCCCGCGGTATTAACAGGGAACATCAGTATTGGTAACTGGAGGTATCGTTGTTCTACCGGGATACAGAGGCTCGTTAATCGGACCAGTTTTGGTTCGTTTGCCGGTGTGAAAGCGGACCACACTGGAGTGTATCTGCTTCTCGTATGTCAAACATGGATGGAAGACGCTTGTTTTTGCCTCGTACTTTTTGCTAACATGTCGCCAAGCCTCTGGAATAGATCATTGCAGTTTTGTGGTGCTTGCATATTGATGGGACAGCTGTGTTTGCCGCTGAGTGCGCGTGGATTTCGGCGACGCACAGGTGGAGCTTGGTCATCAGGTTGCCAGCAAGTTACGCACCGAGTGTTGAACAGGTAAACAGAGAGTCAATGTCTTTTTATTTCTTATTAGCCCCTCCAATAAAGGTCCCATACTTATGAACAGGGGGATTTTGTCAGCGCCTCCTCTGCGCTCTGATACTGTGGTTGTGGGAGCGTAAAGTGAAGTGCGCACACGTGTACCACCACGTGTGGTTTGTTTTAGTTCTTCGGTGACGCCGTATGTGCACTTGTATGTGCACGTGTACTCGTATTAACAGATCCACTTAGACTCATTGTTTCACAACTGCTGTAAGTTGAGTTTTGGGATGTAAACTGTGTTAATAATCTGTTGTTGTGAATCTGCATGGGCACCGATTGCAGCTTCATCTGTCAGTGCGGCCCGCGGTGGGGGTGGGATTGTGCGTACATCTACCGCGGGCCGCACTGACATTATTCTTTGGAATCAAGTGGAGGGCCGCAAAAAATCCTTCCGCGGGCCTCAGTTGGCCCCTGGGCCGCGAGTCTGAGACCCCTGCTCTACACCTTGATGTGCAATAGTTTCATTAGCAAGATGCACACTGATTGTGTTGTGATGTCACTTTGAAGGGGGAGTGACTTAGCATAGGGAGCAAAAGTGAAACATATAAAACATTTGAATGTGTTGTGATCTGCATTTTCAAAACAATAAATGGTAACGTGGTGATCTGATGTTTTAGCAGTTAGAAGTCTAAAATGTGATCTAAATATGTTCTGTGTTGGAGTTAGAAGTGTAATAACTCCTCTTGAGTCTAAAATACGATGTGGTGTCTTCTGGCAGAAGCAGCTTAAGCGTCTGGAGGAGCTGCAGAGGAGCATGGAGGTGGGGATCAGGGTGGAGGGGAAGAATGGAAAGGGGAGCGTCCACATCGAGGGGGTGGCCAAGGACGTGACCAGCGCCACCACACTGATCCATGAGATGCTTAAGGCGGCGCGACAGGAGGAAGAACTGCACCAGAAGGCGGAGCTGCTGAGTTCACTGGTGCAGTGGCAGTACGCCATGCCCGGGCAAGACTTCCAGAGCTTCGACGCGACAACGAATTTAGAGCTGGAGGAGGCTCTGGGGATGAAGAAGAGCGAAGTGAAAGTGAAACTAAATGGACAAGACGTGACAGTGAAACTGCCCAAAGGACCTGCGACGAGCAAGAGCGGACAGAGTCTGAAGATCCAGAGGGTCAACATGGACAGAGGTGAGTGAGGGGGGGTCAAGAGTGAGGCTGTTACATAAGGGTGAGTGTTGTACAGTTGTAGGGAGTATTATCTGTCACATAAGTGTAACCCAGGTTAAAATATACAAATCTACAGTTAATAGGTGGGTTTCACGTGACGTCACAGGGCGACGTTTGTCAGCACACAAAATCAGACGGAGGGCAGGAAGTGAACTGACTGGAGGAAAATGCCGATGTGTTGTGTAGTTTACGGCTGTGCCAATCGTTCTAACCCAGAGAAGGAAAAGCGATTTTTTTAGAGTAACGAATATAGTCGTCCACAAAGGTCAGAAATGGGAAAAGCCAACAGAACAACGCCGTAAAAAGTGGATTACAAACCTGTTTGCGGACGGGAGGAGCAGAATTCGCTAATGCTCATGTCTGCAGTGTCCACTTTGACAAAGGTTTGTTACAAAGATAAATTGTTTTTTGTGGTTTACCTAAACATAAACGAATCATTAATGACTAACGGCTGACGACGTTTGTTGACATTAAATAATTCAGATAGAAGTTACTGCCGATACACTGCAGTTTTTCCCATAACGTCGATACACATAAAATAAGAGAAACACTCACCCCGGCCAGTTCTATGGCTCCAAACTTTTGTACTTTGCCTTCATCTGTTGTCTGGTGTAAAACGATGTCTGAAGAGCTAAATAGTTCATGATCTCCTCTGCCTTGATTGTCGGCAAATCTTTTACTTCGGTAGAAAATTCTCTCATTTTCAATAAGATGAGGGTCACGCCCAATATATTTGTCGACTAACTGCTCGTACTTTTGCCTCACTACTGGCTCTAAATCCTGACAATAAGAACTCTTCTCCATATCTGTGTTCTCCAGAGCCGTGTTTGTCATGTTTGTCTTCACTTTCTGCCCTCCACCTGAAATTCGCGCATCATCGTGATCACGTGACTGAAACCCTCCTATAGCAAATACTCCAACTACCACCGGTCACTAAACGTATCACGCTCGCGCTTTCAATAAGTCACCTGCTCCCCTCCCTCCATTCACACCCGGGAGTGAGGCGAGACAGGACGCCCTTATCGCTACCACCCGATGGCAAAAAGACCGTATAAAATGATAACACAAGGGAATTGGCCAGGTGATTCCGGTTGAAAAACTATTCTGATGGTGAGCTGAACCCAGGAACTTTGCCTACAACTCACGATACTTCAAACAGCTTGTACAGTCGGGTAGGGGCTGTTGCAGCCAGTCCACTCCCGCTTTTCACCTATTCAACGCGCGTATGGACAATTACACACATACACCCCCTAAAAGACTATATGGACACATGGACATGAACTGTGGACAATAAATTTAACATTTTGTTTATGGACAATGATAAGGACACTAACAAAGTGACTTATTTACTACTGTTGTTTCGTATTGTTTCGAATGTATTAACCAGACTTGAAAAATCTGCAGATTATTGGTATTATTGTAAATATTGTATATATATATTTCTTTTCACTTTTCAATATATAACACCAGCCACCAACCATAGCTCTGTAGTCTCTTATGTTTTTTTACTGCTTCCCTACCTCCCAGAGAGCCGCAGACTAGCCTTCTGTTTCTAGCCCTATACCTACATCAACTCCACCCCTTTTGTCCCTTGCATACACCTTTAGAAATGTTACATAAGGGTGAGTTGTTGTACAGTTGTAGGGAGTATTATCTGTCTAGTATGACATGATTTACTGTTTTGTTGAAGTGTTTGTTTCTTGTATATTCCTGCAGAGCTGCCTGAGTACTGGGAGCCCATGGACACCACCTCCACCAAAGTCTTCACTGTGGCCCCTGGGAGCCCCGAGTACAGCAGAGTGGAGCAACTGTTCAAGGCTTCATGTAACAAGAATATAATCAAGGTTAGTCCTGGTTTAGTCCTGGTTTAGTCCTAGTTTAGTCCTGGTTTAATCCTGGTTTAGTCCTGGTTTAGTCCTAGTTTAGTCCTAGTTTAGTCCTAGTTTAGTCCTGGTTTAGTCCTGGATTAGTCCTGGTTTAGTCCTGGTTTAGTCCTGGATTAGTCCTGGTTTAGTCCTAGTTTAATCCTGGTTTAGTCCTGGATTAGTCCTGGTTTAGTCCTGGTTTAGTCCTAGTTTAGTCCTGGTTTAGTCCTGGATTAGTTCTGGTTTAATCCTGGTTTAGTCCTGGATCAGTCCTGGTTTAGTCCTGGTTTAGTCCTAGTTTAGTCCTAGTTTAGTCCTGGTTTAGTCCTGGTTTAGTCCTAGTTTAGTCCTGGTTTAGTCCTGGTTTAGTCCTGGTTTAGTCCTGGATCAGTCCTATGTCCATTTATATATACATTCTGTGGATTAAAATATTGATACTTGTGAATCTAACTGAAAGCACTGCTCTGTCTGAAGCTCTGTTACTCAAGTTCGACTTTAATCTGATCTGAACACAAACAGGACCATGAACGCTCGTATTGATCACAGGCTCCTGAAAACGGGCTGTTTAAATACATTTTGGATTTTTTCAGACAATCTTAACACTTTTTTGTCAGAGTTTTATGTGTACATTGTGTCACCATGGAAACTGCTCAACATTAGACATATAGAAATCGTTATAGAGCACTCCCAGCCTGACGTCACTGCAAAGAACCAAAAGTACAGATACTGTGCAGTGCTGTGCTGTCACATGATCACAGTCTACAAACTCAACTGTGATGTTGTCATCCTCAGATCGAGCGAATCCAGAACCAAGTGCTGTGGGAGAGTCTGCAGCTCAAGAGGAAAGCGATGGACCAGAAGAACGGACACCAGAACAACGAGAGACAACTGTTCCACGGCACAAGCCACGACACTATTGCCTTGATCAATGAGCACGGCTTCAACCGCAGCTACGCCGGCAAGAACGGTACAACCACCCACCAGTGACAGGGTTGTGGGTTAGACTCCCGAGCTCTTTGACTGTGCATGTCCTCCCTGTCTTAAGCCAAGTGTCCACTGTACGGTTTTGTCTGTCTCCAGTCAAAGATTTTTGAAAATGTAGAGTCATAACTATAAATGGTGGGTGTTTGGTCTCTCACTGTGTCTGTGAACAATTTTTGTCAAATATGTGACCACTGCTAGACTTTAACACACAGAGCCTGAGATTCACACTGTGATTGTGAGTAGTCGGACCATTTAAACTCCTCACATCGTGTAGTCCAGTGCTTCTCGATTATTTTCTGTCATGCCCCCCCAGGCATGGGGGGGATGCAAAATGTTTTATTTTGTGTCCCTCCACTCCACAGAACTGCAAACAAACGTGGACAAATCACCCCCTCGCCTTCAGTCGCCTACATACGTATGAGAGCAAATATTTTAGTCGTGTCTCCGCTGTGTCATGAGGTGGTACTGCTCTTGTGTCCTCCTCATTATTAAAGATGTCCGTGTTATAGTTCGGGGCACTTGTGTCATCCAGCGTGACAGAAACTATGTCTAATGCTGTTTGGTGCGCCTCCTTATATGATCCTGACAGAGCTCGCTGGTTTACTCAAGCAGCATTCACAAAGCTGGATGATTGTTGAGTTTTTTTCAGCGAAAATGTGCCGAATATCAGCAAGCAGCTTATCGGTGTGATTGGGGTGTAATGTCTTTAAATGACGCTGTAGTTTATTTGGCTTCACGCTGTCCGCTGCCAACATTTTAGACACAGCTGTCTTTCCTCTTTTCCCACCGTAGTCACAGTGAAGGTGAGCGCTGCGTACACTTTATATACAGTTAGTTCTCTGCACTTCATATCTCCTGCTCTGTGCTGTGTGTGCGTTTGCTCGCTGTAAAAACCTGACACTATACATGCATCAAGAATCTCGGACTTCCCGTCATTGCGCAATACATACTGGGAAGGATTTTCCAAAAAAGTGAGCATCAAAAGCATTTGATTTTACAGTGGGATGTGTCTATTGACAAAGTTGATCTTTTCAAGTCTTTTGAACCATATCACTTTTGTTTCTGGTTCTGATATTGTCATATTTTAGTTTTGGGATTCGGACATTGTTAATTGTGTGGTTGCTGGATCCTCACAGGGGAAAACGGCTCGAGAAATGTGTTTGCGAACTCCATAAATGCAAAAGTGAATCAGATGTTTGTGACTGCAAACCTCTGTTCAAATTGTTTCTCTTCCCAACGGAATTGAAAAATAGTGAAAGGTGAAGGTGATGGGCAGGATTGATCCACGGGAAGGACGAAAAAGGAAACCTTTGACTGCCTAAATCATCCCGAGTTTGCAGAGAACATTTTGTATGTGGAGCGTCAAGAGAAACAGTTTGAACAGAGGTTTGCAGTTACACACATCTGATTCACTTTTGCATCTATGGAGTTTGCAAACAAATTTCTCGAGCCGTTTTCCACTGTTAGGATTCAATAACCACACAATTAACAATGTCCGAATCCCAAAACTAAAATATGACAATATCAGAACCAGAAACAAAAGTGATATGGTTCAAAAGACTTGAAAAGATCGACTTTGTCAATAGACACATCCCACTGGGAAAACAAACATGAAGGTTTGATGCTCACATTTTCGGAAAATCCTTCCCAGTATGAATTGTGCAATGACTGGAAGTCCGAGATTCTTAATGCGTGCATAGAGCTAATACTTCCTGCGCTCACTCTGACAAAGAGAGCGTCACTGCCAACTACTGTAGTGGATGTGCAATTACACTTTATTCTAGTATGGCAAAAAAAAAAAGCATGTTCCCCGAGGTCACACGCCCCCCTCTGGCATCACACCCCCACGATTTGAGAACAGTCTTAAAAGATGAAAAAAATCACTCAGTGGACACTAGACTTAACTGTGACAGAGTGTGTATCTGGTCCCCTCTTCTCAGTTGGGGGATGTGACTCTTGTATGTCTGAGTGGAGAGTGTCCCTGTGGCAGAGTGGTGATCCTGTTTAAACTCTTGTGCTGTTTCCCTCCACAGCCACGGCGTACGGAAAAGGCACGTACTTTGCGGTGAACGCTCAGTACTCGAGTAGTGACACATACTCCCGCCCCAACACCTCAGGTGAGAAGCTCATGTACCTGTGCTCCGTCTTGACCGGAGACTTCACTACAGGGACCTCAACAACGATAGACGCTCCTCTGAAGAAGGCTGGCTCCCCTGAGAAGTTCGACAGTGTGGTGGACAACATTCAGAATCCCTCTATGTTCATCATCTTCCACGACAGCCACGCCTACCCCGACTACCTCATCACCTTCAAATGAGTTTAGACCTGGTGGAGATCTGATGTAGACCTGTCTGTCCTATCTTAGTCCTGGTTTAACAATAGATAGTACATCACTGGAACTGTTAAGGCCAGTGCACACCTAACAACTAAGAGCTGTAAACACTGGGCCCTCTGCACACACTGTGGCCCCCCCTCTACACACACCATGACCCCCCCCTGCACACACCTTGGTCCCCCTCTGCACACACCTATGGAGCTTCTCACTGATAGAAATGCTCAAGTGCTGTTTTAAGTGCACTTATCAATATAATAATGTTTACTCTATGTGTTCTTTTCAGTGGTCACTTTTGATGCTTAGAACATGTTCACAAATGTATTTTAGCTTCAGTCAAGGTTTTGTTCTGGTTTAGTCCTGTTTACTTTAGTTTAGTCCTGGTTTAGTTCTGGTGTAGTCCTGGTTTCGTCCTAATTCAGTCCTGGTCCTGGTTTCGACCTGTGATCATCTCTCCACAGCACTGCCTGTGTTCATATGAAGGACTTATTGTAATGTTTTTGTCTTTCTTACTGAAATGTTGTGAATTTAATGATTAATCTGCTGCTTTTAAATACATTATTGTAAAATAAAGACACTTCATGCGTCTTTAATTCTTGGATATTTTCATTAAAGGTGCTGCACCTGACTTTCACTGTCAGAACTCATTTATTTTAAACTGTTTGCAGTGCTCCAAATCAATCAATCAATCAAACTTTATTTATAAAGCGCTTTTCATACAAAAATGTAACACAAAGTGCTTTACAGTGATTAAAAACAACCCGACACCCGACAGGAGAACCAGTTGAGAAAGCACCATCAGAGGAGCCGTCTACACCAGGAGCAGAGAGACGTCCACCACCACCAGGAACCACCACAGTGCCCAGGGGAGAGATGAAGCCCAAGCACCAACCCTCCACCAGGAGCCCACATGACAGAACCCGACAGCCACAGCCGACCTCTGCTCCTGATACAGAGGCTCCTACAGAGGAAACACTGGAAATCCTAAAAATATGCCTAAAATAAATAAATATATTAAAATGTGTACAGTAGAAACAAGTAAAAGTATAAGAATTCAATCAAAAGCTGAGCTAAAAAGGTGGGTCTTGAGCCTGCTCTTAAAAACATGAACGTTCTCTTTGGCCCTGAGCTCCTCCGGCTGCAGGTCCATAGACGAGAGCCGTAGTACTGAAAAGACTCCTCTCCGTGAGTGTGTGTCCTGACTTTGGGAATGACCAGGAGCTGCTGCCGGAGGAGCGCAGGATCCGCGAGGGTTCATAGGGTAAAAGCAGTTCTGAAAGATAAGAAGGCCAAAGACCATTAAGACATTTAAAAAACAGTAAAAGAACTTTAAAATCAATCCTGAAACTCACGGAGCCAATACAGTGATTTTAAAACCAATGTAACGTGGTCCCGCCCTCTGGTCCTCGTCAGGACACGTGCTGCTGAATTTTGTAATAATTGCAAGTTCTTCCTCACTTCCCTTATGCATTCGGAGCATCCTGTTTATTCACCATGATGAGTTTGTAAGCACTTTTCACAGACTGCTGATCTCCAGCACTATCTCCATGAGCAGAGAGAAGACCAGAGGTTTGGAGGAGATGGAGGACATCCACATGTCCTTTGCTCTGGACAGACAGACTCTGAAGAGGTCACTCATCTGCTGGAGGACAAACACCAGGAGACACCCTCACACACATTTCAAGTCTCTGTACCTGGTTTTACTGTTTTCAAAATGAACTAGTTTCATTGTCAACAGTTTGTAATGGTCCAAAGTTATTCCACATTTACCTCATGCATTCAACAACAACTAGCATGTTAATAACACTTCCTGATTCTCTGACAATACAACATTGCTGACTTATGTTGACCTCAAGAGCTGCTTATATAACATATCTGTACTGGGGTAAGACACATTTACTCAAAAAAGGGAAAAACGGGTACAGGGACTTTAAAGCTGACACGTGATTATTATGATGTTTATTTGTACAGGGTCCCAGTGAGAGTACTGGACCCTCTTTTACAATTCAAACTAAACAATGACGTGTGTAGGTCCATTTAAAACATTGGAAACAGGAGGAGGTGTGATTATAAATGTTTATTATTTCAAATGCAGTAGTGGCTCCAGTGTGTCCAGTTTTCATGTCAAATATGTTCCAAAAAAAATGACCAAAAGTTTTTCTTCCCATTTTAGCTCTAGTGTGGCCAGGTTTCAGACATACATAATCATGAGATCTTGTATTAAAAGTTCCAGTGTCAAGGGTCAACAAACAAGTGAGATCTTCAGGTAGTCTATCACATTATCCTCTTCAAGTACATTTTCTACAGAGTTCTCTTGTGACAGAGAGTGAAGGGCTGGGTTGGGGTTTTTTAAACAGATGTGAAAGAAACAACACAGCTCCAGGTACATGTGTTTGTGATGACACAGATCAGGAACTAGTGTAATACGAGTTCGTTAAATGTTTTAATACTCCTAAGGTTAAAATGATTCCTCGCTTACATGTACATTGTGTCACCATGGTAAATGCTGAACATTCCACCATACACATACATGTAGATCACCCCCAACGTGATGTCACTGCAAAGTATCAATAGGCCAGTCATGTTTAATACAGATGGGAGCAGGTGGATCTTGTGCAAATGCAGATTTGTGTTGTAAGACGGTAACACTCATAGAAATAAACACGTTCAACATTTGTGAATGAAACTTTTGGAGATTTTATGGCAAAGTACAATGTGATCAGTAGAACTGTGTGTGTGTGTGTGTGTCTGTGTGTGTATGTGTTTGTGCCAGTGTGTGTGCCTGTGTGTGTGCCGGTGTGTGTGCAAGTTTGAATATCAAAGTACAAAGTCTGAACAAAACTCTCCCACTGGAACAAGACTAGAGATAAAGTCTCACACTGAAACCTTTGTCATAAAAAGACACTTGGGCCGTAGTTGGAAAAAAACATGTTTAATCATTTAAAGGAACAATATTCACAGTCACAGTGTCCAGAGGAACATCAGGAGCTTTGTCCAGAAGGACGAGCAACACTTCATCTGTTTGGGACGAACTGAAACGATGCAGCGTCTCCTGGTCCTGTCCCTCTGGAGAGGACGTTTTTAGAACTAGAACTTTTTGTAACTATGAATATTTTATTTCAGTACTAAGGAACAGACTCAGTAGTCAATACAGATTCTGATTCCCCGATGATAATAAAAATCCCTCTTTTTTTTTTACACAATATAATGTGATTTTCCACATTAAATACTAGAACTTTTTTGTTCTCACGTGTGTTATATGTGTGTGATGCTCAAGGGTCCAGTAGGTTCATGTTGGTCTATGTGTGTGTACTAGTCTATGTGTGTTCTACTTGTTTTGTTAGAGCTCAGGATCATTCTAAAGACATTCAGGAAAAGTTCAGTTCTGTCCTGTCAATGACTTTTTTAATATGGATACATGTGAAAAATGAGGATCTAATTCCAATACTAGTTTTAGTATCAGTTAGTGTCTGATTTTTAATACTTCTGACAACCCTAAAATAAACATAGTCATTTGATTAGTTTAGTCATAATATTTTTATTGAACCAAAAACAGAGCACAATTCAAATTGTACAGGATCAACAGCACTCAATACTTTTTGGTATATAAAAGTTAAAATAAAAATTAATTTTGCAAACTGAGAATAAACATAATAATGGCCTGCGCAGGTACATATATCTGTGAATTTTGAGATGTTTTTCACATAGTTTCAGATTATAAAAAATCAAGAGGTTGCCACACTTTCTTAAATGATATTAGTTTATCCTTTAACATATTGATTCGTTGACTATTGAAAAAGAAAAGCTGGATGGTGTGTCCCTTCTTCCTGATCATCTCCTCAAACAGCTGCAGCTGTAAAACAGATTTGACTTCCCACAGTGTAAGAAATACAGAAGCAGTTACTTTAGTCTGTGCACACTAGTTGGGCCTAACTTCTTGGTAGTTCTTGACCAACTGTGCGATCCTGACCACCCTGATGTCAGCAGGAATACTCCCTTCGTAGTCTGACCACAGGTATTCTGGAGACAGCACTTTGGTGGGTTTGTTGTACAGGAAATATCTGTAAAATAACACAGTAAACGTAAAGACATTCACTCTAGTCATTTAGATTTTTGTTTAAAGTTCTTATATCACACTAAACTGTGTCACTTTTCGGTTTTGGGTTCGTCACCTTCTTGTTTGTGTGGATGTCATTGCTCTGCTTAGAATGTTCCACAGTGTGACATTAAACAGATCGACCTTCATTTCTTAAATTCAGTGGTGGTTTTATTGCTCAAAAATACCTAGAAAAACAGGCATTCCTCTCCACAGATCTGAGCTGTAACTTGGTCTGGTTATAATATAAATATAATAAGACAGATGACAGAACAGACAGTACAGAAGTGGACCAAGTGAGTGTGACGTCACCCACAGCGTCAGCTCCAGTCAAACAAGCTCATGATGCTACAGCTACAGGGGGAATGAGGAATTTATTAATGGACAAAACAACCAAATAAAAAGCCCAGGATCATGTGTCGTGGGTCATTACCAACATTTTAAGACCAAAATGACGAGGCAGGTACAGAGAGAGGAGCAACACATCAGTGTATAGTGTGTGTGTGTGTGTGTGTGTGTGTGTACGTGTGTGCGTGTGTGCGTGTGTGTGTGTGTGTGTGTGTGTGTGTGTGCGTGTGCGTGCGTGTGTGTGTGTGTACGTGTGTGCGTGTGTGTGTGTGTGCGTGCGTGTGTGTGTTTCTGTGCTTTAACTCTTCATTGTTTTCTACTGTGGGCTTGATTTTCTTGTTTTAGATCAGAGACAAACTCAATATTGAGCTGAGTTGTAGATTTTGCTTACACACAAAGCAATACCATCTCCATGGAGACCAGCAGAAAAGTCTCACAGTGTAACTTTAAAAGGGACTTACTTGTTGAGATGACTTTCTTCCTGCCACGCTGCTTCCACTCCGATTTTAGCATCCTCTTGTGATTTCTCATCACAGTGTCTATGAGTAACACAAATAACATCCAACAGATTTTAATCAAAACTCATGCGACAGGTTTTCATGTGTTTCTCATTCTGACTGGGTTTGGTGGATTGACCTGTGGTTAATGTTGATCAGAGTTTTACATCAGTTAAGTGACACTTTGGGGGGAAAAAAGTTGAGCCTCGGGGAAAGAAGGCGCCTGATTGGTCTGTTATTAATGATTTACAGACAAAATAGTGAAATAAAAGCTTTAGGATCATGTAGAGTGAGTTAATACAAACATTTTAAGACTAAAATGACAGAAGCAGTCAGAGAGAGAGAGGTGACACTTTTCAATACAAAGTGAATTGGAAGCCAGAGTGGATGGAGCTGGAAGCACATGTGCTCACCTCCTGTTTGGAACACTCTCGCTCACGGTTTAACTATGTCCATGTGTACAGTGTTTGATCTAACATCATGCATTAAAAAAACAAGGTCAAAGGTCGTACTTGACCAGCCTGTACATGTCGTCCAGGAGCCCTCCCCACACGGCTGCAGTGTAGTAATAGTCTCCCTCTGTCGGCGGGATGTACGCCTGTGACTCAGGACGCCGCTCATAAGGGAAGTCCTCACGCTTTGTTGTCTGGAAACGACAAGTGCAGTCATGTATTGTAATGTATTCACTCAACCTGAGAGGATATTTACAACACAAAGAAAGGCCACAGCCAGGTGCAAAAGTCAACAGAGGTGAAAGATGACGTCTAAATACAAGAGTTTGGACTTTTTTGTCTCTGGAAATCAGGAAGGATTTGCTGAAGGCTGAAGGACAGTGTGAAACCTGCACTCAGTTTTAAAAAAGTGACTCTGATCACCAGAGTCTTCACCTGCAGACAGAGACACATCTGCATTTGTCTCATTCTCAGTTTATGTTCAGGTTTCATGTGAAGCTCAGAACCTCCAGAATTCCCCCCCTGAGCTGCAGAGGCTGCACTAGCACTGACTCATGATGCTGCAGGTGCTGAGGTTTAGGGAGTCACCGTTCAGATCAGAGAGAGACAGAACAAAACCCCAGATGATTAATTATAACATGAACAACTCGTCCATCATGTCCAGTGTTTTTGTCATTAAGAATAAATCTGCATTTCAATAGTTCTCAGTGTTGTTATATTTAAACATGTTTCGCTGCTGTTTGGGGACACATGAGTCATGTTTGTGACAGTTCAGACACAAAAGAGTAAGTTGAAATAATCTGCTTGACTTTTGCACAGTCTGTACTAAACACAGTTGTGACCTGAAACAGACCCTGTAGTACATTCGGTGGAGCGTGCCAACCAGCCGACTCAAGGCCTCTGCTCCAACATGGCCACGAAAAACACTGTCCACGTCCATCATGAACAGATAGTCAGCCTCTCTGTGGAGCTGAAACAACACACTGTAAATCTACATACACACATGTATCTGTGTGTGTGTGTGAGACGCTCACCCATGTCTCTAAAGCAAGTTTGGCCCACTTCATCTTGCTCAGTACCACGTCCTGCCATCGATTTGCACTGGGCACATCGTGGATCGAGATGTTTCTTCCTTGAGTTAGAGGAATCTGCAGCACAGCCGAGACAACAATATAATGTGTATAATACATGTATCTTATCAATAGATCGGTATCGGATCAATATTGAACATTAACCCGATGTTTGTTCTACACTGTCCCAGTCTGTTCGTACCCATGTATCATTCCAGTCTGTCCTCAGATCGATTTCTGCTCAGACAAAGTTCTGACACTGTGTCCTTAGGCAAGACACTTTTCTCACCTTGCCTAGTATGGAAGTGCTGTGTGAGTGTTGGTGGAGAGGAGGCTCGGCTCCCTGTGGCCACCAGTGAGTGTGGAGTGATCATGTGGCAGTGAGGGGCTTGTACCACATACATCCTTATGAACTGTGTATTTGATGGTATTATCTTCACATAAGCAAAAAGTCAACTTTGTGATCTTTACTCTAACTTACATAACTACTACACATTCTTGGTGATTGCTTTGGTTTTTTAAAATAGCAATATCGATATCGGCAAATATCGTTTATTGACCACAACAGTAAGTGAAATATTGGACTTCAGTATTTCCAGAGTGATTATGTGCAGTACAGAGGGATTTGGTGTCACATTCATTACATGGTCCAATCAGAAGACTGAATACTTAGAATACTTTCTCATTTCTTTTATAGAGGAGAAATACAACAACCTGTGTCCACTCACCACAAGACCTGTGTCCACACCACAAGACCTGTGTCCACTCACCACAAGACCTGTGTCCAACACCACAAGACCTGTGTCCACTCACCACAAGACCTGTGTCCAACACCACAAGACCTGTGTCACCACAGACCTCACCACAAGACCTGTGTCCAAACACCACAAGACCTGACCTGTGTCCAACACCACAAGACCTGTGACCTGTGTCACCACAAGACCTGTGTCACCACAAGACCTCACCACAAGACCTGTGTCCAACACCACAAGACCTGTGTCCACTCACCACAAGACCTGTGTCCACACCACAAGACCTGTGTCACCACAAGACCTGTGTCACCACAAGACCTGTGTCCAACACCACAAGACCTGTGTCCAACACCACAAGACCTGTGTCCACTGTGTCACCACAAGACCTGACCTGTGTCCAACAACAAATTTCATGATAAAGAGCCACCATGTATTCTTTTGATTTTAGGGAAGTACAGTAAAGGAAAGGAAAGTAGTTTCTGAATTCTGAATACCACAAACAATACATTTAATCAAATCAACTGTATTGTTCATTTATTTTTTATAATTTTTAATAGAGCTACATCTCAGGAATATAGTTTGCTTTTCAGAGCATTTTGCAGAACACTTATGACAAGATGGGCTATGGCTTTTTGGAGACGGGCTGTGGCTGGTTGTAGAAGCCTGTGGCTTGTTGGAGATGGGCTATGGCTTGTTGGAGATACTGAGCACTGGATTCCTTCAAGGCTGTGTACTCAGTCCACTGGTGTTTACACTCCTAACACACGACATTGCATCCAGACACAAGGGCAACGACGACACCACAGTGATGGGACTTATTTGGGGGGATGAGGAATCACTGTACAGGGAAGAAGTTAAAGATCTGTAGGGCTGGTGCAGAGAGAACAACCTGGTGCTTAACGTGGACAAAACGAAGGAGATGATCATCGACTTCCAGAGATCACAGTCAACACGATCCTCTCAGCATCAGTGGCTGGACAGTGGAGAGTGGAGAACATCAAGTTCCTTGCAGTGCAGATTTCGTAAGACCTGACCTGAAGCAAGAACATCTTTGCGATCAGGAAACAGGCCCAGCAGAGACTGTACTTCCTGAGGAAACCAAAACACGCCTCTCTCCCCACCAGAATCCTCTGGATCTTCTACAGAGGTGTGGTAGAGAGTGTTTTGATGCGTCGCAACATGGTACTCCAGCTGCAGGATGTCTGACAAAAAAGCCTTGCAGAGGACAGTTAGGGGAGCTGAGAGAGTAGTCGGAGTTTCCCTCCCCTCTGTCCAAGAACATTTCTAGAGCTGCTGCAGGAGCAGGTCACTGAACATTTTCAAGAACCAATCTCACCCTTTACACAAACACTTGCTGCTACTGCTGTCATCAGGCAAACAATTCAACAGAGGCGCAGCAAAAGCACCAGACTGATGAAGCTTCCTCCCACAAGCCATTAGGATGCTGAACACTTGACCCTGAACCTATATACTACTACAAAATATGTACATTATGTACATTATATGTATATTATTGTTTTTAGGTTAGTTTTAGTGTTTATTCCACTCAGTCACTTTAACTGGCCCTGGCACTAATGGAATCTGTCTTAGGTCGTTTTCACACCGCTAGTTCGATTATTTGGTCCGCACCAGGCAATAAAATTATTACTATGTAGCAAATACACTCCAGAGTGGTCCGCTTTCACACCGACAAACGAAACAAAATTGGTCCGACTGATGTGCCTCTGTTTCCCGGGAAAACAGCGATACCTCCAATTACCAATACCGATGTTCCCTGTTAATACCACGGGCCGTCCTCATCTCAAATTATCACCATGAGCTCATAAAACAGCAACATGTAGGGGACTTCCGGGGAACGCGGAGAGCGCATGGACGCATAGCTGAATACCTGCTACACAACCGATTTTAAATCATCCCCCTAATCACTCGAAATTACCACAAGAAGGTCTAGAAAAAGCGATGAGTGGGGGCCGATCCAAAAGAGGACAGAAACATACGAAGAAAGCGGACATGGAAGAAGATATGCCGAAAAAAGACGCGGAGCAAGCCCAAGTAGAAGATGGCTACGAGCTAGCTGCTGGTGACGAGCTACGTGCGAATGACGAAGTGGCGAGCAACGCAGAAAACTCCCTAACGCTAAGTGAAATTCACAAAGATCTACGAAGTTTCAAGAGCGAATTCATAAAAGCACTTCAGGAGATTAAGGTAGAAATGGTCAGAGATCTTAAAGTCGAGATGGCGACTATTACCCAGAGCATAAACCAAAAGCTAACGGACCAAGCAGCTAAACTCGAGGGACACGACAAAGCCATTGCCGAGGCAGAAGGGCGTATTTCGGAGGTTGAAGAGAGCGGCGTAGTGACCAAAGACGCCCTGCTTGGCTTATTAAGGGAACAACGCAGATTGCGGGAAAAAGTTGTTGACTTAGAAAGCAGATCCAGAAGAAACAACATACGCATATACGGGATTCCTGAGGGCGCAGAGGGCGCGTCTGTGATGGACTTTGTGAGAAGTTTGCTCACTAAGGAGCTACAGTTACCAGAGGGAATGTCTCTCCAGATTCAAAGAGCTCACCGAGCTTCCACGCAAAAACCGGGACCAGGCGCAACACCAAGATCTGTGATCATAAACTTTTTGCAGTTTTGAAGTGAAAGAGACCATCCTTAGGCTGGCATGGAAGAAGAGGATTATGTTTGATAATAAACAGATTTACTTTGACCATGACTATGCCTATGAAGTTTTGGAGAAGCGTAAAGCATATGGAGAAATAAAAAAGGCGCTTAAAGAGAGGGGCATCCGTTTCCAAACGCCCTTCACGAAGATTCGCATCCACTGGAGTACGGGGCCGCGGACTTACGGAGACGCTGAAGACGCGGCGAGTGATCTGAGGGCGCGGGGGATTGAGGTGTCTGCAACTAGAGTGAGAACAACGGCCAGTGTGGATATGGAGGACAAAATCCGCCGCGCTTTTCCTTGGGAAGCAGTGGTTGCAGATGAGAGAGGAGCAACGATCGGAATGAGGGTGAGACGCAAACTACAAGAGTTTAGAAGAGGAGATGGATCCTAGAAGACTAATAAGCTTTATTGTTTATCTTCATAACTGAGGTAACTGATTCTATTCTGTCCATGATGCTGTAAGTAGAAAGTTGAAACTGGAATCGGTTGAAGTAGAGATTAGTATTAGTGTTCGTATTTGTTGGACTCATTGTGGTCGAGGAATGTATTGGCTGGTTCAGCATTCCACCGCAAGGGGGAGCTCCGACCGGGAGGACGGACTTTACTTTACTTTAACTTGGTTTTTGGTTTTTTGTTTTTGTTCATGTTTCTTTGTTCTAATTCAACAGTGGGGGTTACATTTGTTTGTCTTATTGTCCTTACGATTATATTGGAGAATGTTTTGTTAATTATTGATAGACATTATATTAAGTCTAAACTAAATGCTTAAACTAATTTCGATTAATGTAAATGGGCTACAGAGTGCAACCAAGCAAGGTAAAATACTGGCAAAACTAAAAAGGGAGAATATAGATGTGGCGTTTATACAAGAAACTCATTTGGCGGGATTGGAACATTAAAGACTTAAGAGGCAGGGTTTTAAATATGTCTTTTTCTCTTCTAACGGGATAAAACATACAAGAGGTGTGGCGATTTTAATCAAGTCAAGTCATATTTGAGCATATAGCAACAGTTAAGGATAAAGAAGGCAGATATGTGATGGTAAAAGGTAAACTGGGTGGAGAAATGTTTACATTTTATAATGTATATATCNAGTTAGTGTCTGATTTTTAATACTTCTGACAACCCTAAAATAAACATAGTCATTTGATTAGTTTAGTCATAATATTTTTATTGAACCAAAAACAGAGCACAATTCAAATTGTACAGGATCAACAGCACTCAATACTTTTTGGTATATAAAAGTTAAAATAAAAATTAATTTTGCAAACTGAGAATAAACATAATAATGGCCTGCGCAGGTACATATATCTGTGAATTTTGAGATGTTTTTCACATAGTTTCAGATTATAAAAAATCAAGAGGTTGCCACACTTTCTTAAATGATATTAGTTTATCCTTTAACATATTGATTCGTTGACTATTGAAAAAGAAAAGCTGGATGGTGTGTCCCTTCTTCCTGATCATCTCCTCAAACAGCTGCAGCTGTAAAACAGATTTGACTTCCCACAGTGTAAGAAATACAGAAGCAGTTACTTTAGTCTGTGCACACTAGTTTCCACCATTGGGCCTAACTTCTTGGTAGTTCTTGACCAACCTGTGCGATCCTGACCACCCTGATGTCAGCAGGAATACTCCCTTCGTAGTCTGACCACAGGTATTCTGGAGACAGCACTTTGGTGGGTTTGTTGTACAGGAAATATCTGTAAAATAACACAGTAAACGTAAAGACATTCACTCTAGTCATTTAGATTTTTGTTTAAAGTTCTTATATCACACTAAACTGTGTCACTTTTCGGTTTTGGGTTCGTCACCTTCTTGTTTGTGTGGATGTCATTGCTCTGCTTAGAATGTTCCACAGTGTGACATTAAACAGATCGACCTTCATTTCTTAAATTCAGTGGTGGTTTTATTGCTCAAAAATACCTAGAAAAACAGGCATTCCTCTCCACAGATCTGAGCTGTAACTTGGTCTGGTTATAATATAAATATAATAAGACAGATGACAGAACAGACAGTACAGAAGTGGACCAAGTGAGTGTGACGTCACCCACAGCGTCAGCTCCAGTCAAACAAGCTCATGATGCTACAGCTACAGGGGGAATGAGGAATTTATTAATGGACAAAACAACCAAATAAAAAGCCCAGGATCATGTGTCGTGGGTCATTACCAACATTTTAAGACCAAAATGACGAGGCAGGTACAGAGAGAGGAGCAACACATCAGTGTATAGTGTGTGTGTGTGTGTGTGTGTGTGTACGTGTGTGCGTGTGTGTGTGTGTGTGTGTGTGTGTGTGTGCGTGTGCGTGCGTGTGTGTACGTGTGTGCGTGTGTGTGTGTGCGTGCGTGTGTGTGTTTCTGTGCTTTAACTCTTCATTGTTTTCTACTGTGGGCTTGATTTTCTTGTTTTAGATCAGAGACAAACTCAATATTGAGCTGAGTTGTAGATTTTGCTTACACACAAAGCAATACCATCTCCATGGAGACCAGCAGAAAAGTCTCACAGTGTAACTTTAAAAGGGACTTACTTGTTGAGATGACTTTCTTCCTGCCACGCTGCTTCCACTCCGATTTTAGCATCCTCTTGTGATTTCTCATCACAGTGTCTATGAGTAACACAAATAACATCCAACAGATTTTAATCAAAACTCATGCGACAGGTTTTCATGTGTTTCTCATTCTGACTGGGTTTGGTGGATTGACCTGTGGTTAATGTTGATCAGAGTTTTACATCAGTTAAGTGACACTTTGGGGGGAAAAAAGTTGAGCCTCGGGGAAAGAAGGCGCCTGATTGGTCTGTTATTAATGATTTACAGACAAAATAGTGAAATAAAAGCTTTAGGATCATGTAGAGTGAGTTAATACAAACATTTTAAGACTAAAATGACAGAAGCAGTCAGAGAGAGAGAGGTGACACTTTTCAATACAAAGTGAATTGGAAGCCAGAGTGGATGGAGCTGGAAGCACATGTGCTCACCTCCTGTTTGGAACACTCTCGCTCACGGTTTAACTATGTCCATGTGTACAGTGTTTGATCTAACATCATGCATTAAAAAAACAAGGTCAAAGGTCGTACTTGACCAGCCTGTACATGTCGTCCAGGAGCCCTCCCCACACGGCTGCAGTGTAGTAATAGTCTCCCTCTGTCGGCGGGATGTACGCCTGTGACTCAGGACGCCGCTCATAAGGGAAGTCCTCACGCTTTGTTGTCTGGAAACGACAAGTGCAGTCATGTATTGTAATGTATTCACTCAACCTGAGAGGATATTTACAACACAAAGAAAGGCCACAGCCAGGTGCAAAAGTCAACAGAGGTGAAAGATGACGTCTAAATACAAGAGTTTGGACTTTTTTGTCTCTGGAAATCAGGAAGGATTTGCTGAAGGCTGAAGGACAGTGTGAAACCTGCACTCAGTTTTAAAAAAGTGACTCTGATCACCAGAGTCTTCACCTGCAGACAGAGACACATCTGCATTTGTCTCATTCTCAGTTTATGTTCAGGTTTCATGTGAAGCTCAGAACCTCCAGAATTCCCCCCCTGAGCTGCAGAGGCTGCACTAGCACTGACTCATGATGCTGCAGGTGCTGAGGTTTAGGGAGTCACCGTTCAGATCAGAGAGAGACAGAACAAAACCCCAGATGATTAATTATAACATGAACAACTCGTCCATCATGTCCAGTGTTTTTGTCATTAAGAATAAATCTGCATTTCAATAGTTCTCAGTGTTGTTATATTTAAACATGTTTCGCTGCTGTTTGGGGACACATGAGTCATGTTTGTGACAGTTCAGACACAAAAGAGTAAGTTGAAATAATCTGCTTGACTTTTGCACAGTCTGTACTAAACACAGTTGTGACCTGAAACAGACCCTGTAGTATCCTCGGTGGAGCGTGCCAACCAGCCGACTCAAGGCCTCTGCTCCAACATGGCCACGAAAAACACTGTCCACGTCCATCATGAACAGATAGTCAGCCTCTCTGTGGAGCTGAAACAACACACTGTAAATCTACATACACACATGTATCTGTGTGTGTGTGTGAGACGCTCACCCATGTCTCTAAAGCAAGTTTGGCCCACTTCATCTTGCTCAGTACCACGTCCTGCCATCGATTTGCACTGGGCACATCGTGGATCGAGATGTTTCTTCCTTGAGTTAGAGGAATCTGCAGCACAGCCGAGACAACAATATAATGTGTATAATACATGTATCTTATCAATAGATCGGTATCGGATCAATATTGAACATTAACCCGATGTTTGTTCTACACTGTCCCAGTCTGTTCGTACCCATGTATCATTCCAGTCTGTCCTCAGATCGATTTCTGCTCAGACAAAGTTCTGACACTGTGTCCTTAGGCAAGACACTTTTCTCACCTTGCCTAGTATGGAAGTGCTGTGTGAGTGTTGGTGGAGAGGAGGCTCGGCTCCCTGTGGCCACCAGTGAGTGTGGAGTGATCATGTGGCAGTGAGGGGCTTGTACCACATACATCCTTATGAACTGTGTATTTGATGGTATTATCTTCACATAAGCAAAAAGTCAACTTTGTGATCTTTACTCTAACTTACATAACTACTACACATTCTTGGTGATTGCTTTGGTTTTTAAAATAGCAATATCGATATCGGCAAATATCGTTTATTGACCACAACAGTAAGTGAAATATTGGACTTCAGTATTTCCAGAGTGATTATGTGCAGTACAGAGGGATTTGGTGTCACATTCATTACATGGTCCAATCAGAAGACTGAATACTTAGAATACTTTCTCATTCTTTTATAGAGGAGAAATACAACAACCTGTGTCCACTCACCACAAGACCTGTGTCCACACTGTGTCCACCACAAGACCTGTGTCCACTCACCACAAGACCTGTGTCCACTCACCACAAGACCTGTGTCCAACACCACAAGACCTGTGTCCACTCACCACAAGACCTGTGTCCAACACCACAAGACCTGTGTCCAACACCACAAGACCTGTGTCCAACACCACAAGACCTGTGTCCAACACCACAAGACCTGTGTCCACTCACCACAAGACCTGTGTCCAACACCACAAGACCTGTGTCCACTCACCACAAGACCTGTGTCCAACACCACAAGACCTGTGTCCAACACCACAAGACCTGTGTCCACTCACACACACAAGACCTGTGTCCATGTGTCCACAACACCACAAGACCTGTGTCCACTCACCACAAGACCTGTGTCCAACAAAATTTCATGATAAAGAGCCACCATGTATTCTTTTGATTTTAGGGAAGTACAGTAAAGGAAAGGAAAGTAGTTTCTGAATTCTGAATACCACAAACAATACATTTAATCAAATCAACTGTATTGTTCATTTATTTTTTATAATTTTTAATAGAGCTACATCTCAGGAATATAGTTTGCTTTTCAGAGCATTTTGCAGAACACTTATGACAAGACGGGCTATGGCTTTTTGGAGACGGGCTGTGGCTGGTTGTAGAAGCCTGTGGCTTGTTGGAGATGGGCTATGGCTTGTTGGAGATACTGAGCACTGGATTCCTTCAAGGCTGTGTACTCAGTCCACTGGTGTTTACACTCCTAACACACGACATTGCATCCAGACACAAGGGCAACGACGACACCACAGTGATGGGACTTATTTGGGGGGATGAGGAATCACTGTACAGGGAAGAAGTTAAAGATCTGTAGGGCTGGTGCAGAGAGAACAACCTGGTGCTTAACGTGGACAAAACGAAGGAGATGATCATCGACTTCCAGAGATCACAGTCAACACGATCCTCTCAGCATCAGTGGCTGGACAGTGGAGAGTGGAGAACATCAAGTTCCTTGCAGTGCAGATTTCGTAAGACCTGACCTGAAGCAAGAACATCTTTGCGATCAGGAAACAGGCCCAGCAGAGACTGTACTTCCTGAGGAAACCAAAACACGCCTCTCTCCCCACCAGAATCCTCTGGATCTTCTACAGAGGTGTGGTAGAGAGTGTTTTGATGCGTCGCAACATGGTACTCCAGCTGCAGGATGTCTGACAAAAAAGCCTTGCAGAGGACAGTTAGGGGAGCTGAGAGAGTAGTCGGAGTTTCCCTCCCCTCTGTCCAAGAACATTTCTAGAGCTGCTGCAGGAGCAGGTCACTGAACATTTTCAAGAACCAATCTCACCCTTTACACAAACACTTGCTGCTACTGCTGTCATCAGGCAAACAATTCAACAGAGGCGCAGCAAAAGCACCAGACTGATGAAGCTTCCTCCCACAAGCCATTAGGATGCTGAACACTTGACCCTGAACCTATATACTACTACAAAATATGTACATTATGTACATTATATGTATATTATTGTTTTTAGGTTAGTTTTAGTGTTTATTCCACTCAGTCACTTTAACTGGCCCTGGCACTAATGGAATCTGTCTTAGGTCGTTTTCACACCGCTAGTTCGATTATTTGGTCCGCACCAGGCAATAAAATTATTACTATGTAGCAAATACACTCCAGAGTGGTCCGCTTTCACACCGACAAACGAAACAAAATTGGTCCGACTGATGTGCCTCTGTTTCCCGGGAAAACAGCGATACCTCCAATTACCAATACCGATGTTCCCTGTTAATACCACGGGCCGTCCTCATCTCAAATTATCACCATGAGCTCATAAAACAGCAACATGTAGGGGACTTCCGGGGAACGCGGAGAGCGCATGGACGCATAGCTGAATACCTGCTACACAACCGATTTTAAATCATCCCCCTAATCACTCGAAATTACCACAAGAAGGTCTAGAAAAAGCGATGAGTGGGGGCCGATCCAAAAGAGGACAGAAACATACGAAGAAAGCGGACATGGAAGAAGATATGCCGAAAAAAGACGCGGAGCAAGCCCAAGTAGAAGATGGCTACGAGCTAGCTGCTGGTGACGAGCTACGTGCGAATGACGAAGTGGCGAGCAACGCAGAAAACTCCCTAACGCTAAGTGAAATTCACAAAGATCTACGAAGTTTCAAGAGCGAATTCATAAAAGCACTTCAGGAGATTAAGGTAGAAATGGTCAGAGATCTTAAAGTCGAGATGGCGACTATTACCCAGAGCATAAACCAAAAGCTAACGGACCAAGCAGCTAAACTCGAGGGACACGACAAAGCCATTGCCGAGGCAGAAGGGCGTATTTCGGAGGTTGAAGAGAGCGGCGTAGTGACCAAAGACGCCCTGCTTGGCTTATTAAGGGAACAACGCAGATTGCGGGAAAAAGTTGTTGACTTAGAAAGCAGATCCAGAAGAAACAACATACGCATATACGGGATTCCTGAGGGCGCAGAGGGCGCGTCTGTGATGGACTTTGTGAGAAGTTTGCTCACTAAGGAGCTACAGTTACCAGAGGGAATGTCTCTCCAGATTCAAAGAGCTCACCGAGCTTCCACGCAAAAAACCGGGACCAGGCGCAACACCAAGATCTGTGATCATAAACTTTTTGCAGTTTGAAGTGAAAGAGACCATCCTTAGGCTGGCATGGAAGAAGAGGATTATGTTTGATAATAAACAGATTTACTTTGACCATGACTATGCCTATGAAGTTTTGGAGAAGCGTAAAGCATATGGAGAAATAAAAAAGGCGCTTAAAGAGAGGGGCATCCGTTTCCAAACGCCCTTCACGAAGATTCGCATCCACTGGAGTACGGGGCCGCGGACTTACGGAGACGCTGAAGACGCGGCGAGTGATCTGAGGGCGCGGGGGATTGAGGTGTCTGCAACTAGAGTGAGAACAACGGCCAGTGTGGATATGGAGGACAAAATCCGCCGCGCTTTTCCTTGGGAAGCAGTGGTTGCAGATGAGAGAGGAGCAACGATCGGAATGAGGGTGAGACGCAAACTACAAGAGTTTAGAAGAGGAGATGGATCCTAGAAGACTAATAAGCTTTATTGTTTATCTTCATAACTGAGGTAACTGATTCTATTCTGTCCATGATGCTGTAAGTAGAAAGTTGAAACTGGAATCGGTTGAAGTAGAGATTAGTATTAGTGTTCGTATTTGTTGGACTCATTGTGGTCGAGGAATGTATTGGCTGGTTCAGCATTCCACCGCAAGGGGGAGCTCCGACCGGGAGGACGGACTTTACTCCTCGCTCACTACAGGAGTCAACTGACCCCGAGGATAAGGAAGACTTTATTTGTTTTTTGTTTTTGTTCATGTTTCTTCGTTCTAGTTCAACAGTGGGGGTTACATTTGTTTGTCTTATTGTCCTTACGATTATATTGGAGAATGTTTTGTTAATTATTGATAGACATTATATTAAGTCTAAACTAAATGCTTAAACTAATTTCGATTAATGTAAATGGGCTACAGAGTGCAACCAAGCAAGGTAAAATACTGGCAAAACTAAAAAGGGAGAATATAGATGTGGCGTTTATACAAGAAACTCATTTGGCGGGATTGGAACATGAAAGACTTAAGAGGCAGGGTTTTAAATATGTCTTTTTCTCTTCTAACGGGATAAAAAACATACAAGAGGTGTGGCGATTTTAATATCAAGTCAAGTCATATTTGAGCATATAGCAACAGTTAAGGATAAAGAAGGCAGATATGTGATGGTAAAAGGTAAACTGGGTGGAGAAATGTTTACATTTTATAATGTATATATCCCTCCTGGTACTAAATCTGACTATTTAAATATTTTAGACAAAGCTGTGACAGAGAGCCAAGGAATGCTCATTTGTGGAGGAGATTTTAATATAACTTTAAATCCACACATAGATTCAACTAGTAATAGATTATTTCAGTCACAGAAAATAACAAGAAAGATTAAAGTTATGATGTCGGAGACGGGTCTTGTAGATGTATGGAGGTATTTGAACCCAACAATTAGAGACTATACCTTCTACTCGTCCCCACACTCTTCTTACTCCAGAATTGATTATTTTTTTACCTTTAGTACAGACATCAATAGAATGCAAAAATGTCAGATCGGAGTGAGAGATATATCTGATCATTCTCCTTTATATCTATATATATCCAAGTCTCAACAACAAAAACTAACTCACTGGAGACTGAATAATAGCATACTCAACAATCAGCTATGTGAACAATTATCTAAAGAAATAACTGAATACTTACAAATCAACGATGACAATAATACAACTCCACCCATTTTGTGGGATGCATGTAAGGCGATGATGAGAGGGAGAGTGAT